CGGGTCCTTGCGCTTGTGCAGCAGGCAGCAAAACCACTGAGCTAAATCCCCGGCCCATAGAGGCTGAGTTCTTAAGTAGCTCATCACATTCTGCTTCTTGAGAAAAATAACCAGAGAATACTTCTAGAATGATTTCGGAGGAAAAAGGTACTATGGAGAAAGAATGAAGGGTCTAGCAGACTGGGGAAGAGGGGGAGGCATAAGAAAGGCATCACTGGAGGCAGATAAGCCCTGACCAGGAAGAGTCAGAAAATTCTTCAGGCTGAAGAGAGGAAAATAGAACAGGCAAATTTACTATTGATTAGAGAGGCAGAAAGGAGTAAGATTAGAAAAGCTCTTAAATATTGTGCTAAGAATTTGGAGTTTAAGGGCTGGAGATTTAGCTCAGTGGTTTCACCGCCTGCTGCGCAAGCGCAAGGACCCGAGTTCAATCCCCGGTACCCGACCCCCCCCCCAAATAATAATTTGGAGTTTATCCACCACCTGCCTCAAAAGCGCAAGGTCCTGAGTTCGATCTCTGCCCGCCCCCCCGAAAAAAGAATTTGGAGTTTATCCACCACCTGCCTCAAAAGCGCAAGGTCCTGAGTTCGATCTCTGCCCGCCCCCCCGAAAAAAGAATTTGGAGTTTATTCTAAAAGCTTAGGGAAACCTTTGAAGTCATGAAGGTTAACCATATAGAGATCTGCATTTTAGGGAGACAGGTCATGCTGGCTGTATGGTTAAGAATGGGTAGGACTGTGGCTGGGTGTGGTAGCAAATGCCTGCCTGTAATCCCAGTACTTGGGAGGCTGAGGCAGGAAGACTGCCACGAGTTCAAGGCCAGCCTGGGCTATATAGCGAGACCCTGTCTCAAAAAAAAAAAAAGAATGGGTAGGTCTGGGGATTTAGCTCAGTGGCACAATGCCTGCCTCGAAAGCACAAGGTCCTGAGTTTGATCCACGGTACCAAAAAAAAAATGGGTTCAGAAGGGCAACATTGCCTGGCATGGTGGGACACAACTGTAATTCTAGCACTCTGGGAGACTGAGGCGGGAGGATTGCAAAACTGAATCTAGCCTGGGCAATGTAGTGACTTAATGAGACTCTTGTCTCAAAAGAAGAAAGAAAAAGAAAAGAGGGAAGGAGAGAGGGAAGGAGAGAGAGAAGGAAGGAAAGGAAGAGGGCTGGAGATGTAGCTTACTGGTATAGTGCCTGTGTTCAGTCCCCAGCACCAGGGGATGGGGAGGCAAAAAAAAACAACTTAAAATAATGAAATAAAACAATAGGGGCCTCTGGGATTTCACGAAGACAAGTCTAGATGCTAGCTCTTGGGTGTGGGGCATGGGGTGGCTGGAGGGAGAAGGGTGCCACTGCTGACATAGGAATATAGAGAGAGGACTCTGAACCTGAGCTCTCTGGGGGACATCAAGGGGAGACATTCAGAAGGTGAATCGCCCCCACATGGTATTCCTCCCATGCTTGTGGAGCGTCATAAGCAAGCAGCTTGTAGCACTTACAGGTAGTCATGGGAGTATAGAGTGAAAGGACAGGACGGACATGTTGGGCACCCCAACGACTAGAGGCCAGAGGGAAGAAGAACCAACAAGGGGCCAACATGCAACCAGAGTAGTGTGAGAGTGGGTGACAGAAGCCAAAAGAAGAATTTCAAAGAGAGAAGTGCTAGGCATGGTGACACATGCCTATAATTCTAGTACTCAAGCTGAGGCAGAAAGATTCCAAGTTTAAAGCCAGCCTGGGGTACATAGTGAGACTTTGTCTCGGAAAATAAAACAAAAACGGCAAAGTGGCCAAATGTGTCAAGAGGTGAAATAAAATGAATGAAAATTATTGACTTTGGAAAGTTAAGAGGTCACTGATTATTGCGGTAACTTCAGTGGCCTGGATGGAATAGAAACTAGATTTCAGTGGGTTGATGGGTAAACAAAAAGTGAAGAGCAGCTGGGCATGATGGTATAGGCCTACAATCCCAGCACTCTGGGAGGCTGAGGCAGGACCGCACAAGTTCAAGCCCAGCCTGCATAATTTTAGCAAGCACCCTGTCTAAAATAAAAAATGAAAAAAAGGCTAGGGGCATAGCTTAGTGAAAAGGCCCTGGGTTCAATTCCCCCATAATATAGGGGAGGGGAAAAGTAGAGGTTGCCAGGCGTAGTAGTGCATGCCTTTAATCCTAGCACTTGGGAAACTGAGGCAAGAGGATCACTGTGAGTTCAAGGCCAGCATGGGCTTACATAGTGAGTTTAAGGCCAGCCTGAACTACATAGCAAGACCTTGTCCTAAAAAAAAAAAAAAAGCTGCAGATATAGCTTAGTGAGAAGGCCGTGGTTTAATCCCCAGTACTGAGAAAAGAAAAAAGAAGACTATGGAATAGAGCTCAGAGGTAGAGCAGTTGCCTGGCTCACTTGAGACCTGGATTAGATCCCCAGCACTGGGGGATCTGTTACCATGGCTTTACAAAGAGGAATCTCTCATCAAAACCCCCAATCCAAGTGTTAGACCTGGAACACCAGGATTAGTTTATCAGTGCATTTGCCTCTGGTCACAGTCCTGTTGCCCCACAGGTTCGGGGTGAGGGAACAGGCACCCTGGGCTCATTATCGCTGCCCTTTTCGGAGCTCCTGGAGGCGGACCGGCTCTGCTTGGACCGCTGGTTTGTGCTCACTAACGGCCAGGGGCAGGTGCTACTGAAAGCACAGCTCGGGGTGAGTGCCAGGAGATGGTGGGCCGACCCGGAGGGAGGCGGGGAGGCCATTGTGGCCAAAGGATACCTAGGAGGCTGGGAACAAAGAGCTATGTCCTTACAGCATGGGGCAGAGAGAACTCACAGCCTTCTTCCCCCAGATCCTGGTGTCCCAGCACTCAGGTGTGGAAGCTCACAGCCACAGCCACAGTTCCTCCTCTCTGACTGAAGAAGCAGAGTCCTCCACATCCTCAGCCCCTGAGCTCCGGCAGCGCCTCGTTCATGGTGACAGGTAAAGGACTGGACGGAAGATGGGAGGCAGGCAGCATGTAAACTATGAGTTATGGGTTTGCTAGGTGCTGCCTTCTCCCATACCTCCATCTCGCCACAGTCCTCTCCAGGCTCCTGTCGGCCCCCTGGGCCAGGTGAAGCTGACTGTATGGTACTACAGTGAAGAGCGGAAGCTGGTCAGCATTGTTCATGGCTGCCGGTGAGCCCCACCCTCCTGCCTCTGGGCTCCCTCCATCCCTTCCCTTGGTCACTCATCACCACATCCTCTTGCCACAGGGCCCTTCGACAAAATGGACGAGATCCCCCTGACCCCTATGTGTCACTGTTGCTGCTGCCAGACAAGAACCGAGGCACCAAGAGGAAGACCTCCCTGAAGAAGAGGACCCTGAACCCTGAATTCAGTGAACGGTCAGTCCGCGGGCATTCAGGTGGGGAGACGGAGGCTTGAGATGAAGCCATGGCCTTAACACCCAGCCCCTCCCAGGTTTGAGTGGGAACTGCCCATGGATGAGGTGCTCAGGCGCAAGCTGGATGTCTCTGTGAAGTCCAGTTCTTCCTTCATGTCCAGAGAGCGGGAGCTGCTGGGGAAGGTAAGAGGGCAGGAGTGGCTGCTGGAACCAAGGCCATGGTTCCTGTTAAGGAGGAAGTATACCTGGTGACACTCTGGAGGTGACATTGTCACCAGGAGTGTGACGGTGAACATGGTCTTTGGAGGTATGAAAATAACATCTTGTCCCCCATCCTCTGCCACAGGTGCAGCTAGATCTAGCTGAGATAGACCTCTCCCAGGGTGCAGCCCAGTGGTAAGTCCACATGGATTGGGCTGTGCTGGATATTTAAGAGGCTCCAGTCACAGGAAGGAGTAAAAAGGATGTAATCTGAGCTGAGAACCAGTGATTCTATTAAGAGCCCTAGGATTGTGTCTCATTTATAAGAGGACTGAAGAGTCATCATCTGCTAAAGCCTCTCTTGTTTTTCTAGGTATGACCTGATGGATGACAAGGACAAGGGCAGCTCCTAGGAGCTGGCAGTGACCAGCTGGACCCTGCTCCATTTCCTGCCTTGCCTCACCTATCACTGACTCAATGTGATGAGCCCCAAGCTGAGGCCCAGGCCTGAGCCTGTCCCCTTTTGCCCTTTTGTCCTCAGGCCCCTACTAGGGCCTTTGCCTGACCAAAGAGAAGGACTATATCTTCCTTTACTGCATGGCCTTTATCCTCAGGCTCTTGGGGCAGGGACCTGAGCTGGCTGTCTCCTACTCTCCCTGCACACTGTTCTCCCTCCTAACTCCTCAGGGCCTTCATACCCGTGCCTGGCCACTGGCAGCACTAGCAGTGACATTAGCTTATGCCAAATACAGCTCCTGGAAGGACCTTTCTTCTTTAACTGGATGGGCCACCTTCTTTCTTACTATGAGCAGGCAGGGGGTGACGTGTGTGGAAAGAAGACAGCTAAGCTCTTGAGCTTGAGCCTGTTACACTACTGCATGTAGCAAACGTACAGGGATGGTGGCCATATCCAGTCCTGTCCTGAAAACACCTGCTATGATGAGGGCCAGTCTCCTGGTTCACATTGTGAATCGGGAACACTTGTGTTCTACCTAAGCTTTCATGTAGTAGGATGCCTGTCTTGGAGCCCCAAACTGGTAATATGCAGATGGCCTTGAAGGACTCAGGACAGCAAGGCCAATTTTTTGTCCAAGTGCCTGGGTTACAAGCTTACTGACTAGAACTGAATCTGACAGTTTTGCATCAACTGTCAACCCACCGTATCTTATATTAAACATTATACTCAAACCAGCTGTGGTTCTTTTCCTTAAGAAATGGGAATCTAGGGCCGGGGATTTTAGCTCAGTGGTTCTGCCGCCTGCTGTGCAAACACAAGGACCAGAGTTCGATCCCTGGTACCAAAAAAAGAGGAATCTAAAGCCAGGTGTGGTGGTACACACATGTAATCCAACAGGAGGATCACTGCTAGTTCAAGGTGAGCCTGAACTACACAGTGAGATCCTGTCTAAAAAAGGAATGGGAATCTAACCTCACCAGATGTTTATTCCAATTGTCAGAGGCCTTCATTCAATTTCCAAATCAGGTCAGTTTAACAGTCAAACCTACTAAAGATGCAGTCACCAAGAGTACCAGTTCCATGGAGGAGGGTCAAGGGCCCTGTGTGAAGGGCCTGCTGAGGTGACTCATTCACCATGATGAATCTTACTTGAGCAATTTGTCTGTGGACTACTGTCATCTCATGGGCTTCCTGGGAGAAGGATCCCTAGTCTTGATGAACTCAGAAGCTCTGGGCCACAGCACAGGCTTGGGGGTCTCTCCTGTGACATACACTCAGCCACAGGCAGAGGGCTTCAGGCCATCTGACAGGCCGCTGAGAAATAGTTCACACCCACTCCGATGTGCTCACCTTAACTCTGCTCCTTGCAGGAGCTTTCTGGGAATCCATGCTCTGGGGGTTATGCTCCCTGTTCTGTGAAATAAGAGGAGAAGGAGACATTTGGAGTTACTACTGGAACAGAAACATGCGGATTTCCTAATGCCTCAGAGGGACTTTACCACCAACTCTAGACAGATTAAAAACCTCAGAGTGCTCCCTACTGTGAGGAGAAGGAAGGCTCAGGGAAGAGCTAAGTTCAGTTCCCCAAGTTCTCAAAATTCTCTTTATTGAGGGCCGGGAATTTAGCTCAGTGTGGTTCCATCACCTCCCTCAAAAGTGCAAGGTCCTGAATTCAATACCCCAAAAAAATTCTCTTTATTGATAAAAATGGAATTTGTTTTTGGTACAAGGGATCCATAAAAATGGAATTTACTGTCGGGCGTGGTTGTGCACACCTATAATCTTAGTACACTGGGAAGATGAGGGAGGAGGATTACCTAACATTCAAGGTCAGCCTGGACTACATGAGACAAAAACCCCTGAATTGGGCCTGGGATTTAGCTCAGTGGTTCTGGCACCTGCCTCGCAAGCACAAGGTCCCGAGTTCGATTTCTGGTACCAAAAAACCAAAACCAAAAAAAACCCTGAATTTATTTGAGACAGGGTTCTTGCTTTGCAGTTCAGACTGGCCTTGAACTCACTATGTAGCCCAGGCTGACCTCAAACTCCTGGAGATCCTGCCTCGGCCTCCTGAGTGCTGGGATTACAGGTATGTACCACCACAGCCAGAATTTTTTAAAAACTTGAGTTTAAACTGCACACTGTCTACTAACTCAGCTGCTATGTTTTCAGCGATCCCTCTGTATTGTTTTCTGGTTCCTCTGCCATCTTCCTTCTCATCAATTTAAAAGGATCTCGCCGGGGATTTAGCTCAGTGGTTCCGCCGCCTGCTTTGCAAGCAGAAGGATCTGAGTTCGAGTTCCGGTACTAAAAAAAGGATCCCAAGCATTACTGCCTCCTAGACTGCTCCAAAATCTTATGGGGAGAAACTCCAAAGCAGGACAGAAAATCTTAAACTTTTAAGGTCTCTCTAATTATTACATATTAAGCACATGGCCCAAGTCCTGCTGTTCTTGCTGGCAGATAATACAACCAGTGATTTTGCCGAGCGATTTTAAGAAACATTCAACCTACTTTATCACTTTAATCACATTTATGGAAAACTAGAGGACAAGGCACAACATCTGAAAGGACCCCTACTCTTGTATGTATGTGTGTGTGTGTGTGTGTGTTGTGTTTTACTGGAGATTGAACCCAGGGCCTCAGGCATGCTAGGCAAGTGCTCTGCCACAGATGGATATGCCCAGTGCCCTAATTTTGGAAAATTCAGGATCCACAGGGAAGGAGTAGCAATTTATATATTAAACAAGACACAATTCAGTACATGATAGCACTTATGTATACAAAGATGATGCAAATCAAGGATCATTTTAAAAAGTACTTGTTATTCTTTTTTTTCTTTGTGATAGGGTTTCACCTTGTAGTTCGGGCTGGCCTCACACTTTCAGGGATACTCCTGCCTCACCCTCTCAGTGCTGGGACTATAGGTGTGTGCTTGGACCTGTTATTTTTCAAAACAGCCTTTTTTTTTTTTTTAAACAGCTCACTTTTAACACTGACACTCAGAATGCTTGTGTATCTTTTCCAGAGAAAGGTAGCTATGACAACATTGGGTATACTGCCCTTGCTATTTGCAAATGCTACCTTACATCCGTGTGGCCTTACTGCAGCAAGGTGCTATATATAATTAACTGGGAGTGGCAACACAGCTGTCTACCTTTCCCTATGGCCCAGAACCCCACAGCATTCCTGGTAGCAGCCACCAGCCCTGTGCCAGCCCCAGGGGATTTGTCACAGCCCTCTGGGCTGGGCATTCACTTTCCCAACTCCTCTACAACTTGGAAGAATTCTGACCCAGTCCTAGTAGGTGAGATGTAAGAGGATCTTAACTGGGGAAATGGAGCATCAGAAGAAGAAAGTTCCCTCTGCTCCCTGTCCTATTTTTTGTGCTGGGGATTGAGCTCAGAGCCTCCCAAACCCTTCCTTTTTTCTTAGGTTGTTAGTAGAGGATGCAACCCCTGGAGCTGCAGCCGCCTTTTTCTTCCTTCCTTTTTTTTTTTTTTCCTTCCCCCGGTATCCGGGATCGAACTCAGGACCTTGTGCTTTCGAGGCAGGTGCAGCGCCACCAAGCTAAATCCCTGGCCCTTCTCTCTTTTGCAGTACTAGGGATGGAACCTAGAGCTTTCACACTGAGCTAAATCTAGCCCTTTAAAAAAATTTTTTTTTCCCTAGGTGGGTATGGTGGAGCACTCCTATGGCCTGGGAAGCTGAGGCAGGAGGATCACCATGACTTTGAGGCCAATCTGGGCTACTTAGTGAGTTCAAAGCCAGCCTGTACTACATAATGAGACCCTATCTGAAAAAAACCAAAAAAATTTGTTTTTTTTTCAGCAGTGGCAAAGTTTATTTGAAAAAGTAAAAGTGGCTGTGCAGAGTGAGCTTGGGCTGAGTAAAAGAGGAAGCAGTAAGATAAGACAAAGGGTGGGCTCTTATGAGAAAAGCCTCGGTAACCTTTTTGGGTTTCTTGAGCTAGGGTCTCACTATGTAGTTTAGGCTGGCCTTGAGCTCACTATGTAGCCCTGACTGGCCTCGAACTTGAGGTGATCCTCCTGCCTCAGCCTCCCAAGTTGAGACATGGTGTTGATAGATTGCCCAGGCTGGGGTCAAACTTGCAATCCTCTGACCTCAGCCTCCCAGAGTGCTGGGATTACAGGTATCTGGCTGATTTTTTTTTTCAGTGCTAGGTATTGAACCCAGTTCCTCCTGCTTGCTGGGCAAATGTTGTACCACTGAACTATATCTCAGCCCAAAACAGAAAAGCATTTTGTACTTCATTACTGGAGATTGAGTCAAAGGCCTTCACAATGAACTACAACCCAGCCTATTTTTGTTTGTTTGTTTGTTTTTGGTACTGGGGATCCAACTCGAAACCTTGCACTTGTGAGGCAGAGGCTGGAACTGCTGAGCTAAATCCCCAGGCCCAACCCAGCCTATTTTTAATTTTTTGAGATAGGGTCTTACTAACTGGCTAAGTTGCCCATGCTGGGCTCTAGCTTCTGATCCTCCTGCCTCAGCCTTCCAGAGTGGTGGGATAACAGGTGTGCACCACTACAGCAGTCTAAATGATTTTCTTAGGATAAGTGGAACTGCTGGGTCAACTTCTATACTTCAATAACTTTTACTACATTCTCCCAAACTGCATTCTAAGGAGATTACACTGCATGCATCTTCTGTACTCCCACCAGCATTACATGAAAATATGATTTCCTATATATTCTCTAAATCTGAACATTATAAAAATGTTACCAACTAATGCGCAAAATTTTGCTTTTTATATTCTCCTGCATTTTCCCTCACAGACTAACAACTGCTGTTATTGTTTTCTTCCTATTTTTGTGGTGTTTTGTTTGAGACAGGGTCTTGCTATATAGTTCAGACTAGACATAAACTCAAGTGATTCAGATGCCTCAGCCTTTTCAGTGCTGGGAGTACAAACATGACCACCACACCCAGCAACAACTGTCATTTCTTATTGTTGTAAGTCAGCCCTTTCTCAAGCAACAATCTCCTCCTACTTGCCAATTTTATAATCTTGGGCCAAAGATTTATGCAGTATTTCACTAGCTAGGTATTAATGAAAATATAAGAGCAAGACTGCTGTAAAGAACTATAAACCTGAAAGGCACAGTGTCACACACTATAGCCCCACCTACTTGGAAGGCTGAGGCAGGAGGATCTCAAATTCCAAACTAATTGGGTAACTTGGTAAGACACTGCCTCAAAGATAAAAATGGGGGGGGATAAAAATAGCCTGGTGTGGTGGGCATACCTGGAATCTCAGTACTCAGGAAGCTGAGGCAGGAAGATTCCTTTGAGTTCAAGTTCAAGGCTAGCCTCAGCTACATAGTGAGTTCAAGGCCAGTCTCAGCTACACAGTGAGTTCAAGGCCAGCCTTAACTACATAGCAAGACCCTGTATCAAATAACTAGAACAAACAAACAATAAATAAATAATAAAAAGTAGGCTAAGACAGAAGGATTGTAAGTTCAAACCCAGCTTGGGCAATTTAATGACTTAGGAAAATCCCTGTCTCAAAATAAAAGGGGCTGATGGGCCAGGGATTTAGCTCAGTGGCACTGCACCTGCCTCGAAAGTGCAAGGTCCTGAGTTCAATTCCTGGTACCAAAAAATAAAATAAAAAGGGCTGAAAGCTAAGTGTTGGGGCACAAGCCTGTAAACCCAGCACTCAGGAGGCTGAGGTAAGAGGGCCGCTGAGTTTGAGCCCTGCCTGAGTTACATAGTGAGTTCAAGGCCAGTTTTAACTATGTGTGACCTTGCCTCACCACCACACCACCACCATCCTCCAAAAAAGAGCCAGGGATGTACAGTGTGAAGGTCCTAGGTTCAATCCCTTGTACCACAAAAAATAAAAAAGGACTTAGACACGGTAGTACACGTCTATAATCCCAGCTCTCTAGGAGCCTGAGGCAGGAGGATGGGAAATTCAAACCCAACTTGGTCAATTTAGGGAGACCCTGTCTCAAAAAGGGCTGAATATGTAGCTTAGTGCAAAGGCCCTAGGTTCAATCTCCAATACCATAAAGTAAAATAAAATGGGTTGGGATGTATCTTAGTGTGCAGGCCCTTTCTTAAATCTCCAGTGATGGCAAAAAAAAAAAAAGCCATATTAAAATAAATAAAAATTTAAAAGGGCTGGGATTGTAGCTTAGTGGTAGAGCATCCAAGTTCAATTCTTAGTACTGCAAAGAATAAACAAAAATCACAAACCAGGGCCAGGAATTTAGTTTAGTGACACCGCACCTGGCTTGCAAACACAATGTCCTGAGTTCGATCCCTGTACTGAAAAAAAACAAAAAACAAACAAAAAAACACAAACCAACCTATAAACCTAAAATTAAAAAAGAATGCAGTGATCAGGCGCATATATATGTGTGTGTGTACATGTGTATATACATATTACTATGTGTATATGTATAATATATATACATATTACATGTATATACATATTTATAGTTATAGAGGAATAACCATAAACTGAATATAACAAAGGTATAAACAATAAAGGAGTTCTAGGAAAGCAGTTTAAGGACCCTGATACAATCTCTTTCTGCTGTCCTTCCTCTCCAACCCTCCCACTCTGCCCTCTGCAAGCCTACTTCCAGGAAACATTTCTATCCACTTCCTCTTTATGATTCTTTTCTTCTTTTTAAGAACTAGGAATGCAAGGACTTCACAATGACCTACACTCCCAGCCCTTTTTAAATTTTTTATTTTGAGACAAGCTCTCCCTAAATTGCTTATGGTGGGGTTGAATTTGCAATCCTTTCTCAGCCCTCCCAGAGTACTGGGATTATAGGCTTGTGCCACCACACCCAGCTTGGAAACTACTGGTTTTAAACATTATACACATGAAACTACATTACTTTTCATAAATTTATTTTTACGTCTACATCTTGCATGTAATACAGAAGTCTATGAGAATGACTTGAAAACTGGGTGAGGTGGTACACAGCAGTAATCCCAGCATTCTGAGAAGCTGAGGTAGGAGTATTGAAAGTTGGAGCCCAATTTGAGCAATTCAGCAATTTAGGAAGATACCATTAAAAAATTTAAACATAAAGTGGCCAGGGATGCAGCTGAATTCAGTCTCCAGTAGCCCCCAGATTTGAAACGGCCTTTTAAAACCATGTATGTATCACAAGACATCCTCATTGTCCTTCCTCCTTTTTTTTTTTCAGTACCGGGGCTCAAACTCGAGGGACCTTGTACTTGCTAAATCAAACTCATGGTGATCCTCCTGCCTCAGCCTCCCTGGTGCTGGGATTACAGGTGTGAGCTGTCTGGCCCCTGGCCTTTTCAGACAGTGTCTCCATAAATTGCTCAGGCTGCTTAAATTTGAGATGCTTGGCCTTAACCTCCCAAGTAGCTGGGATGACAGGTGCAGGCCACCACACTTGGCAATATAGGCACTTGTCACCAGTAATACACATATGTGATATATAAATCATCTACCGTATGTCATGACCATGTGCAGTTCAATTTGTTATGAATAAAAGACAGGAAAGGGCTGGGTGTGGTGGTGCATGCCTGTAATACCAGAATGCTGGGAGGCCAAAGCAGGAAGATCGAAAGTTCAAGTCCAGGCTGGGCAATTTAGTGACAAGCAAGATTGTCTTACACTAAAAAAAATTTTTTTGGGGGGGGTACTGGGGATCAAACTCAGGACCTTGTGCTTTCAAGGCAGGCAGCGGCACCACTGAGCTACATCCCCAGCCCACAATAAAAAAATTTTTTTTTTTGGTATCGGGGATCAAACTCTGGTCCTTGCACAGGCGGCGAAACCACTGAGCTACATCCCCAGCCCAAAAAACTTTTTTAAAAGGCTGGGGGTGTTGGGCCAGGGATGTAGCTCAGTGGTTCTGGCACCTGCCTTGCAAGCGCAAGGTCCCGAGTTCGATCCTCAATACCAAAAAAAAAGACAGGGAATGTAGCTCAGTGGAAAGGCTCTGGGTTCAATTCCCAGCACTGGGGCAGGGGAGATATAAGGCATCTATATATATTATGTGGCCCTTCCATAAACAGTCTTATAGGGCCGGGGATTTAGCTCAGTGGTTCTGGTGCCTGCCTCGAAAGCGCAAGGTCCCGAGTTCGATCTCTGGTACCAACCCCCCCCCCCCATAAACAGTCTTATAACTAAACATTTAGGAAAAATGTATTTGATCTTTCTCTTAATATAATTGTACTGATCCTTCAAAAGGATGTAAAATAGGGAAAATACCACCTACTTCATTTTGGAAGATTAAACAAAATTTATTTAGTAAACATTCCTATAGCACTTATGCTGTGCTAGACCCATTCTATTTTACAAACATGCTTAAGCCTCCCAACAACTCTATAAGGTGGGTTATATTATTTCTATTTTACAGATGGGGGAACTAATGATCATAGAGATAACTTGTTGGAGGTTCTCAGCCATACCTGGCAGGATCAGGATTCACACAGGAGCGGGCTTGTCTGAATCCAAACTCCTTAGCGACGCCAGAGCGGCCTCTCTCTGTAATTCAGCCCCTTCATCAGCCTCTCATCTGGGGAGGCCTCCCAGGCATCGCTGCTAACGTTATCATGAGTATCATCGTGTTACTTATGTCATACACACCATTCCTACTCTTCCAAGCAGCTTTTCCCAAACTGTGAATGTTACTGAATGCGTCACCCGCGGACCCGAGGACCCGCGGAGGTTTACCATTCTGAGCCACTCTGTGCTCGCCCAGCGCCATCCCAGCCTCCAGGGCAAGGTGCCCCTGACCCAGTGAATGAAGTTGAGCCTGACTGGTCCCCCGTCGGCACCCAGACCTTTGACACCTGCTGGAGGGACGAGGAATTCCCTTGCTGCACGGACGGGTCTCGGAGCGAAAGAGACCTTTGAACGCGGGAGAGGTGGCACATAAGCAGTGGAAAACCTCGACTCAGAAAGCCTGGGGCAGGTGACCAGGGTTAACTGCAAATTGCAACATTTACTTCAGCAACTAGCTCATTAAATTAAAAAAAAAAAAAAAAGGCGTCTTCAAGCCACGCAGCAACTCCAAGTCTTCTGTTCTCTTTCTACCAAACTGGAAGAGGAAGCGAGAGACCACAACCGCTCGCACCGGAGCAATGTTTCCAGATCTCAGATCTGCAGGTTGCCTGCTGCAGCTTTAACTTTCCTCTGGTGCTGAATTCTCTCACCACAGATGCAGAAAACTGCCCCACCCACACTAAACAGGCAACTACACAGGATGAGGAGAGGGTAATATCCCGAGGGGCTCCCAGGGCCGTAGGGTCAGGTATGGGGACTGCTCATTACCTTTCAGTTCCGGGACAACCAGCGTTCGGCAGAGCCTGAGTCACTAACCGCCACTACAGGCCGGAAGCTCCCACCCCCGCGTCGGCCTGGAGCGGGAGTTTCTCGTGATCCTGCGCACAGTGGACTACAGCTCCCGGCATGCTCCGCGGCCACCGGAATTAACCCTTCAGGGCCGGGAGCCGCGGTGCGTCCCGCTCCCACCCCTTAACGGACCCCGCAGGGTGAGTTTTGGGGGGCTAGGGAGGGCCTTTTTCCTTTAAGATTTAGGATGTGTGGGTGTGTGAGATGGGTTTATTGTCCGCGGGAAGAATGATTCCTTATTTTCAAAAAATGGGACAATTTGTAATATGAAGTACCCAGCACCCTCCCCATTCCCCAACGCTCTTCCCCCACCTTGCTCAGTACCCCAACAAGGTTTTTGACCTGGAGCCTGAGTCAGGGCTTTTTTTTATGTCCCTGGTTGAGGGATGAGTACTCTTCGAGCCTATAGGAGTTCCTACATCCTTTTCAATTAGAGAATCTAAGCCCTTTGTCTCCTTTTCAGCCTGCCTTTTACCTGACTTGAATGATCATGGACTTGGGGGAAAAGGTTTCTTCCTTGGAAGTATGAGTGGTGTGTGTTAAACCTGATCCTTCTCTGCACCCCCACCTCTAAATCAGTACTGGATACAGGAGACAATGGGGACTGTCACACTCCCCTTTCCGTTGCTGTGGACACATCCAGCCCCTGGGTATGGGGTTTGGGACTACAAGTATTGGGAATTATTAGATTATGGGGTCAGCTACTCCCACTCATCATCTACAGTCATCCATGAGGGGATTTTTTTTTTTAAACTTTTCACTGTTTCCAGCGCCCACTTTTAAGTTTTCCCTGTTCCTACAAGCTTCTCCGCTCCCTGCCCTCCACCCCTGCTGTGGCCTTCTAGAGTCTAAAGCTACTTGGGTCTGCTCTTTTGCATCATCCCTATCTCAGTGTCACTGGCAAGCATCCTGTCCTCACCCAGGAGGTTAATTCCCCTGCTTTGGGCAATCTCTTGCTTCCTCTCCCCTACCCCCCAAAGGGAACATTGTTCTGGCCAGCTTTTAGGGAGTAATGGACAGAGGGAAAAAACCTTGAGGCAGAAGTCCTGAACCATAGGAGGCTAGGGGAGTGAAAGCAGCCAGACATAGCCCTCTACCTCACTGCCGCCAACTGGCTCCCTGCCCCTGCTCCCGCCCCTTGACATCCCAGACTCCCTGGCTATTTAAACAGAGATGGGTGCCCCCATCAGCACATTGTCCTTTGGCCACCGGACATCATGCCTCCCAAGAAAGACGTTCCTGTGAAGAAACCAGCAGGGCCCTCCATCTCCAAGCCTGCTCCCAAGCCAGCAGTAGGGACCCCTCCAGCCAAGACCAAGGCTGAGCCAGCTGTCCCTCAGGCTGCTGTGAAAACCCAGGAGCCCCCTGTTGATCTCTCCAAAGTGGTGGTGAGTCCTGGGAGAGTGAGGAGAGAATTTACAGGACATGGTTTAAGGGTGGGATACAGCCTGCAGATTAGGGCGTATGGTAGGTAGAGAATGAATGAGCACTAGAATGAGACTGGGGGTTCTCACAGTCTCCCATTGGGAAGCATCCAGGTTTATGGCTTTAGTGTTGTCTTTGGTGCTCTCTCACTCTAACTTAATACACATACACACTTATACTGCTGACCCATTGTTGGAGGGAGGACTGTGAAATGGAGAACACTTGGGTTCTGAGGACAGTTTCAAGGTGGAGAGAGCTGCTGCCTTCTCTGGCTGGCTGTTCAACTCAAAAGCCTGCAGCTCTGAACCCCAGGAGGGGAGGCTGAAGAGGACAGTCTTGTTAGACAATCACAGCTGGGGGCCAGGAGTAAATTTAGCCTTTGTTCAGCCCCCAGTTATGTGAGGGATGCAGGGCTCAGGGCAGTGGAGGGAGGGGAACAGGTGGCATGGGATTAACTCTGTTCCCAGGAAACCCTCCCCCCTATAATTCCTTCTCTTGGGATTCTCCCAGGGCCTGGAGCTGGGAATGGGACCGAGGTGGCTGGACTCCCAGCCTGGTCCCTTTGGGCCTCTCCCCAGAACTGGCTGCCAGTTGGTTGGGAGGAGTAGTGGAGAGGGATTGAACAAGCCCTGTCATTTCTCTTCACCTGCTCTTTTCTTCCACAGATCGAGTTTAACAAGGACCAGCTGGAGGGTGAGGAGAAGCTGGTTTCCTAAGCCCACTGTCCAGTCCCAAGACCCTACTTAGATCCTTTTTCTGTTCCCCTAGCTCCAGTCCCGACCTTGAAACCTCCCACACTGTGCTCTTTTTCTCCCTTGTTTTACCCACCTCTGGCACATAGTTTCTGAACCTCCCTTCTGTCTAAGGGTGATAGGAACCACTGGTTAACACTGACCCTTCCTTTTATCTTAGAGTTCAAAGAGGCCTTTGAGCTGTTTGACCGAGTAGGTGATGGCAAGATCCTGTACAGCCAGTGTGGGGACGTGATGAGGGCCCTGGGCCAGAACCCCACCAACGCCGAGGTGCTCAAGGTCCTGGGGAACCCCAAGAGTGATGGTGAGAGAAGTGGAACAAGTGGGATTTCAGTTTCTTTTTGTAGTGCTGGAGATCAAACCCACGACCTTACTACCACGGAACTATAGCCTTTCCCCGCAATTTTCAACGGTAGAATATTGGTAAGGTCCCAGATGATGCTAGGGTGGATCTCAGGATTTCAAAAACTGTCAAATGTGGGCAGAAATAAGGGCTGGGGATTTAGCTCAGTGGCACCATGCCTGCCTTGCAAACCCAAGGTCCTGAGTTTGATCCCCAGTGTACCAGAAAAAAAAAAAAAGAACTAGAATCACTATGTTGATTTTGGGACGGGGATTTACCTCAGTGGCACTGCACCTCCCTCAAAAGTGCAAGGTCCTGAGTTTGATCCCTGGTACCAAAAAATAAATGCGGGCAGAAATAAATCCTGGTGCTGAAGGGGATGAAGCTGTTGTGGTAGGGGTGGGAACTGAGTACTAGGTGATACCCAGTGACCTCTCTCACCTCTCAAACCTCCAGAGCTGAAGTCCCGACGTGTGGACTTTGAGACATTTCTGCCAATGCTCCAGGCAGTGGCCAAGAACCGGGATCAAGGCACATATGAAGACTACTTGGAGGGGCTTCGGGTGTTTGACAAGGAGGGGAACGGCAAAGTCATGGGCGCAGAACTCAGACATGTCCTCACAACTCTCGGTGAGGCAGGGACCAGAACTCTTGTTGGGTGGAGAGTTGGGAGTGGACCAGGAAGAAGGCTGGAAGGTAGGCAGAGCCAGGGAGGGGATTATTGTCTTGCAGGTCATGGTCAGGACACGGCTATGGGGCAAAAGCCATAGGGGCAGAGTTAGAGGGAGTTGCTTCTCCGGAGGCTAAAGTGTCCCCTACAGGGCAGAGGAAAGGGAATGAGGTGGGAGCCCCAAGTTCCCGATTTGGGAGATACTTGTCTCCTGAGGTCCCATACTTGTCTCAGCCCTCCCATCTTCAGTTTCCTGGTCTGTCAAAGCTTTTACCAGTTTCAAGATAGGTGATACAGAAAGCAAGAGGCAAAGTGGGAGAAGAGGCCTACCATCATGAAGAGAGTGCCTTGGGCAGGTGAAGGAGGGAAGGCTGGGGCTCCAATGCTGTGTTTGGGGTTCAGGAGAGAAGATGACTGAGGAGGAAGTGGAGACTGTTCTGGCAGGACATGAGGATAGCAATGGCTGCATCAACTATGAAGGTGAGGGGTCAGGAGCAGAAGGGCTGGGGGAGGTGGAAGGATGCTGTTTGGGGTACCCTGGGTTTCCTAGTCCGATGGGTTAGCCAAAGGTCTGCTTCTGAAGCCCTCTGCCTTCTCTTGCAGCCTTCCTGAAGCACATCCTAAGCGTTTGAGCTCCACAGGTAGGCCCTCCAGACTCCCACCTCCTCTTGAGAGGCAAGTTTCCCCTCTGAGCCAGTGCAGATATCAGGACAGTGAGTTTCCCTGTCCGATGGCTGCACAAGCTCCAGGGCTTGGCAACTTTCATTTTTTTCCACAGATCCTATAGGGGCTGGACACCTCCACCCCGCCCCGCCCCGCAGGCAGAAGCTCGTTCCTGCCACCAGGAGGCCACATATTGTTTCAAAATAAAGACATGGCGCCTTCCTTAGTCTCTAGACTGTTGTTTGCTTCAGGGGGCAGGAAAAGAAGGGAGGAGGGAGGGCCTGCACCTCTCCTAAACTCCATAGCCCGATTTCTGCGCGGTCCGAGGAACGCTTCTTGGCGCCCCACCCTACGCGGTTTTGCGGTTTCCGCACCCAGGTGCGGCTGCTCCGGAGAAAGGACCACAGTGGGCCCCGCCCACCTCCTTACTAGTGTAGCAGTTCCTCTGCCTGAGCTCGGCCTGGGTGCCCATTGGCTGGGTTCTCAGAGGGTGACGTCATTGGGACGTACTAAGACGAGTTAGACCAGAAGTCGGAGCCATTACTGCAGGTCCTGCAGAGCTCGGCAGTCAAGATGGTGGGCCCCGGGCCTGGCAGATAAGGGGTTTGGGGGCGAGGAGGGGAGTTATGGGTAGGGTGCAAGAAGGACGGGGTAGAGGGGCAAAGGGAACCCGAGGGTGGTAGGTGGGGTTGCAAAGTCTAGGGCCCTGTCCTGCTGGAAAGCGACTCCCTAAGCCTGAAACAAGAGTTTGTGGGACTCGGGTAGAAACTGGTGGGACTGGACTTCCGTTGCTGACCACTCCCTTCTTCTCCGAGCAGTGTGACTTCACTGAGGATCAGACAGCAGGTAGGTTGTCTCTGACCCCAGCTGAGGTCACCCTTAGCTTGAGGAACACCTCCTACTACCTACTCTCCAACCCCAACCTGCCATTTCCTTAGCACCACCAGGAGAGTACCTCCTGGATTCTCTTCTCCGTCCTGGACCCTCCATCTTCCTTTCTCATTCTTTCTTCCTTCCCCTTCCACTCTAGATCTGAGCCCCAAGCACCGGGTGAATTTTAGGTGGTGTGGGTATGTGAAACAATTTGGTCACCTAATGCTTGCCGTGTGGGGCTTGGGGATGGTGTTTTTTAAGCTGTGTATGCTCTTCTGTCCCTTAGCTACTTCTGCTGCTTTTCTCCTATAACTGTCCCCCTCTCCCAGCTTGAAATTGTGAAGCTAGTGAGAAGCAGTGACCTGATATGTTGTAAAGATGAGGACAGGGGAGTTTGCTAAGAATATGACTATAGCTTCACTCTCTGGAAGGTCTCCGTACAGGAAGGGTGGGAAATAGCAGGCTAGAATGACCCTAATCCCAGGCCGCTGCTCTCACTTCCTTATAAGGACAGGACCCAGACTGGGTGGTTGCACATTCCTACTCTGAGTAGTTACTAGTGAGGAGGCTGAGCAGGCCTGCTGCTTGCCCACGGGGTATGTAAATAGATATAGTACCCAGCTTCCACCCGGAGGAAGGCTATCTATATGTGGGACATCTGAGTGGAGAGAGATAAATAGATCTCTTTAGCAGACTTGGGTGAACAGCAGGGTAGATACCTGGTTTCTGCAGCACGAACAAAGGTCACTGGGTAGCAGAGCTCAGAGGTAGAGTCTGGGTTAACCCCATTCCCAGTGCTGATGTGCATCTGACTTCTCAGAATTCAAGGAGGCCTTCCAGCTGTTTGACAGAACAGGTGATGGCAAGATCCTGTACAGCCAATGTGGGGACGTGATGAGGGCCCTGGGCCAGAACCCCACCAACGCTGAGGTGCTCAAGGTCCTGGGGAACCCCAAGAGTGATGGTGAGCATCCTCAAGAACAAGTGTGGTAGTGGGCCCACAGTTCTTCAGCTAAGAGCTTCACAGCCCCCAGAGAGATTTCCCTGTTTAGTTGTCATCCCCATAATCCTGTCCTTGTGAATTCTTTCGCTTGACACTCTTGCTGTCTCGTGTGGCAGAGATGAATGTGAAGGTACTGGACTTTGAGCACTTTCTGCCCATGCTGCAGACTGTGGCCAAGAACAAGGACCAGGGGACCTATGAGGATTATGTTGAAGGTCTTCGGGTATTTGACAAGGAAGGGAATGGTACGGTCATGGGTGCTGAAATCCGTCATGTCCTAGTCACACTGGGTAAGGCTCTCTGCCCTTGTCTTGGAGCTAAGGTGCCACCCTGTCACTTCTCAGCCAATTCCAAAACCGCTTTCTTTTCCTCTGCAGGGGAGAAAATGACAGAGGAAGAAGTGGAGATGCTGGTGGCAGGGCATGAGGACAGCAATGGTTGTATCAACTATGAAGGTGAGAGATGAACTGAGGCTCTAGTGGAGTTAGCAGTGATATAAGAGATGTTAAGGATGGCATCTGGAGTTTTCCTTATCCCTTGACTTGGGCTCAAAAAAGAGCCAGAGGCAAGGGGCAGGGCCTAGCCAGGGAGGGGGAGGTTGGATGTATGGCAGGAAGGGGTAAGGCAGGGGGTTGCGAAGTAAATGGAGTATCTGTTCCCCACTGCCTGACCCCTTCACCCCATGTCTGTGTCTTGTCTTCACCATTAATGTCTCTTCCTTCCTGCAGCGTTTGTGAGGCATATCCTGTCGGGGTGACGGGCCTGTGGGGCGGGTACGGCTCCTCCCAGCCTCTCCTTCCCTAGTTGATCTCCCCAGGGTTTCATTTTCTTCCCAACCTGTGCTCTCTAGTCCATGCCCTTGCCTACTACCACCTGACTTCCTTCTGGCATGTTTCTGCATGGAGCTCATTAGGGAGAGGAGGGAATTCCCTAAAGAGGAAAGCAGCTTGGGAGTATGGTACCTCCTTACTTCTCTCCTAGAATGGACTCTGAGGTTTTGTTATAGGGTCGTGGGTGCTGGTGTGTGGGACCTCTCACCATTTTGAGCAGTCTTGCTTTAGGGTGGTCCTATAGCCCGGGAGCATGGAGAGTTGGCATATGTAGTGTGCTGCCCGCCTCATTCTGCTATAGCTGACCCCCAGTGGGCAGCTTGGAGGTACCCTAACCCAAAACTCTTGTCCTCTCCTCCCACCAGTGGCTGACAGTAGCTTTAGGTGTAGTTGAACCTTTCTGCCTCTGCTGTGTTCTTGCTGCTCAGGATGGGATGGGGGACTAAGAGCTGGGGGAGGGGAGCCAGGGGCAAAGAACTGGTCAGATCAAGGTGCTTCTCTGCAAAGTGACCCTAAGGTTGGTTGCTGTAGGCATGTTTCCTCTCATGCTACCTTCACAGTCTTGTAGTCTCCTGGCCCCTAGCATACCCCCCTCCCCAGCCTTGCTCCCTGGCTCACTGCATCTCTTTCCACAGAGCTCGTCCGGATGGTGCTGAATGGCTGAGGACATTCCCAGTATCCCAAGCCCATGCCTTCCCCTGTGTGAGATTTGTATGTGGCCCCAGAGGCTTCCTAGGTTCCCTTGTCACAGCACCTTTGCCATCTGTTTCTTGGATGATGTTTGCCATCGGCATTCACCGAATAAATTTGCTCTTTGCCCCCATTTGGTTCTGCTTTCCTTCCTGAGCAGGTGAAGGGGGAAAAGAGTACATGGTGATGATTTCTGACCTGAGTCAGAGCCCAGTGCCCAAGGCCAATGAACAGGGTTTAGGAAAGGAACAATAGTACCTGTCTTGGCCTTACTGAAGAAATGCTGGCTCCATATATTCATGATGCAAAGCTCTCCCCTTGGGTGATCAGGGAACCCATAAATCCCCGTAGGACCAAGGATGACTGTCTGCTTTTTGGCATGTGTGTAGAGGGGGCATCCTTTTGTTCCATCCCATATCAGGCTGAATGTTCTGGCCCTCCCAAGCACTGAAGGCCATTTGTGGGGAAGCCTGAGAGTGTTTAGTGGAGCTAAAGCCAGGCCATATTAGCACTGCCTGAGCCTGTCTGTCACACTGGCAGGGCTGGGGGCCAACAACAACAGAACTAGGTGAGGGCCTGCCTCTTCCCTAATAAGGGAAGGAATGAAGCCACTACTTCTGAAAGGATAAAGATACAAAATCTCCATGTTGTGGGGATGTCCTTCCAAGTCTTTACCAGCTATTTTCAGGGCAGATGAGGGCCTCTGCAGCTGTAGCAGTGCACAGCCCTGAGAGGTGAGCTGCCCCGAGTCTTCTGTGGTGGGCTCTGTGGCATGTACAGTGCCTCTCCAGGCCCAGTGAATGCTCCCGTGAGGGACTCAAGGCATGCTGCCTCCAACCGATACCCCTGTCTGACAGCCACAGGTAAGAGAACACAGAGGCATCCACAAGATCGAACTGAAAGCAAATTAATTTATAAAAAAAAAAAAAAAAAGAAAGAAAAAAAAAGGGAAAGAGAAAATTTACAGAGAACTTTGAACAGAAGGTGCCAAGACTCAGAAGAAGAGAAACATGGGGACATGAGGGATAAAGGGACTGGTAGAAGGAACCAGGGATTGGTGTAGAGCCTACAATCCCATTTACCTCCATGTCAAGGCTGAGGAAAGGAGAAACTGCAACCAGGAGGCATTGGAATATGGGGAGCGAAGCCAAGCTGCCCTGCTCCCAAACCTGTGTCCTCATCTGGGGAACCACTAAGCTAGCATTGAGGTTCTGCCAGTCTTGGTGGGAGAGAGAAGAGGTTAGGGGAGTTACCACCTGAGTCATAGAAGGAGGTGCTTAAGTGCTTTTCAAAATTTTCAGGTTTTAAAAACTCCCCATCCTCTCACAGCTTACTCCTCCATGCCTTTCAGGAGCTCACAGAAACAACCCAGGGAAGGGAAGAACAGCCCCTACTGCCCGTTCTTATCTGTTAGCCATCACAGGAATCCCCCCAAAATATGTCCCCTCCCAAAATCATGCTGACATCAACTAAGCAGATGACTTAAAAACACAAAACTGACATTCAGAGGGAAAGGGATCATTGGTTGAGCTGGGGTGGCCTAAAACAGCAACAATGAGGAAGCAGAAGGAGAGATTAGTATGAATCAATGGCGTGGGAATGGGTGAGAGAACTGACTCAGTCACTACCAAGGGCTTGAGGGGACAGGTTTGGTATCCTACTCCATCCCCAGAGCTCTCCCTACAACCTTATTCCACTTAAAACCATCACTCCCCACACAAAAGAACATAAAAGTTGGTTAATTTTTAGAAGGGAGCTCCAATGTGGCTTTTTAAAATCTACTTCCTTTCAAAGGGCTTAAACTTTTTTAATCTATAAAAAAATCCAGTAGTTCTGAGGGGAGTGCACCCTTGGAAGTGGTTAAGTAGAACGTTATATAAACACCTTTTCCCAGCCCTTCGAGGGCACCCGTCCCATCCTATCCTTTCTCCCAGACGTTAGAAACATCTTTTAAACAGAAGTCCTTGAGAATCCGATATAAAAATACATGCCTCTGCTGGCATGTGGGGGCTGTGGAAGGGCAGAAGGAGCTTTCCTTACGTAGTGATGAATTCTCCAGCTGGGGAAGGGTCCCAGTGGTGGGGAGGGCTGTTTCTGGAACCGAGATCTCCATGGGGGGTGAGGGGAAAGGTGTCTGGCCGGCTCCTCACTGTGGAGGTGGCACAGGGGTGACTGTGCCTGGGCTCGGGGCTGTGGGGTCTGGAGGCAGGGGTGTGCCTGGGTCTGTGGAGAAAAGGAATGTGAATCAGCTGGGGTGTGTTGGAGGGAAGGGTCCAGACCTAGTCTGCACGCACAGACACAGAACCAGGAATGACATGCAGTGGGTAGGTAGATGAATGAGGTACCCACAATGTACAACTTGCTTTTCTCACACCCTGTTCCACCTTACACTGGGGAAAATTGATACACCCCAAATCTTACTCCTGCCCCTAAGGGAACTCTAAATGGGGCATCTGAATGTGGTGGGAACAAGCAAAGAGATGCCAATCATCATGCAAACAGGTATCTGCTTTTCAAGTTTACAACTGAGATGCTCCGTGCCACAGGACTCCTCCATGACCCACCAGTGAAAGGCCCCAGCGTCATCCCAGAGGTGGCAGCTGCCAGGCTGGGGCATGGTGGAGGGCCAGAAAGGCCCTTCCTCCTGTATTCTAATTTTTACCAGTGTTCAAAAAAGATTGTGGAAATTCTAGTACTTGACCCCTTCCCCACCTGCCCTCCCTGCCTCCCTGTAGACCCATCTCCCTTTCCCTTCTCCCCTCCTAGCCCCTTCTCACCTGGCAGTGGGCTGGCACTGGGCAGGAGGTTGCCCTGAACAGCTGCCACAATGGCAGGGCTCTGGGCTGCGGCGGATCCGAGCCCCGGCCCGAGAGGCAAGGAAGATGGCATGGTGGTGGTCGTCGGCAGGTTAGGATGTAGAGGGTTCGCCATGGACACAGGCAGGTTAGGTGGGGGGAGAGTGCCCGGGGCGAATGGGAGATGGTGGTGATGCCCATGCAGGTTAGGAGGAGGGGGGAGGTTAATACTGATGGAGTCAGCTAGACTACCAAATGGGATGATGGATGGAGCAGGAGGAGGAGGAGGCGGCATGCCAAAAGGCAAACCCAAAGGAGCATTACCCGCCACGCCTGGGTGCCCGCTGCCTGGCACTGCCCCTGGCATCATTGAGGGAGGAGTTTGTTGGCTGGGGAACGGTGAGGGGCCTAAGAATTGAGACGAGAGAGAGAAGGTTAGAGGAGTAAAATCTTGCTTAACAACTTAATTTCACAGCAAGGAGAAACTGGACACTTCTTGATGCCACCTTCCCTTTTCTGGAAACTAGAATAAATGGTAAATTCTTGGAACAAAATTCCAAAGGTCTGGGTTTGGACAGAAATCCCTACTGGCTTAGGGACATAACAGAGGGGGACTCATCTGTGGAAACTGAGGCCAGTCCTTATCTCCAGGCCCATCATGTAACCCCTTCAAAGGGAAATGGGACATTTTCCTGGATTCCTGTAGCCAACAAGAGCTCTGGAACTCACCACTTACCATGGGGTCCAGGGGGGGGGATCCCTGGAGGGACTCCCCCAGGCTGGAGGGCTCCAGCTGGTTGTGGCTGCTGTGGCCCTGCAGTTGGCCCTGCCTGCCCAATCTGTTCTGAAGGGCACAAGCTTCCAGGAGGGGCTCCACTGCCGGCAGGAGCAGAGGCCACAGAGGCTGGAGCCACAGCCAGGCCATGGACTGTGGGTGGCCCAGAAGCCCCTGTAGGGGGTATGGGCTGGGAGCCTGGGGGCAGGGTTGGCGGTGGCTGCTGTTGCTGTTGGTGCATCTGTTGGAAGTGCTGCTGCCGGGCCCTCATCTCAGCATACTTCAGCTGCTCCATGTGGAAGGCTTGCCGGTCAGCCAAGAGCTGTTGCCTCTGATATTCCAGCTGCCAATGCCAATGAGTGCTGTTACTAAATTTTCAGAAGATCCCTAGACAAATCCTTTGCTCCTTGCTTTGTCTTCTTCTGAAAGACCCCATCTCTTATGCTGGTGGTTCCCCAAATCTAAACCTTGTGTTTCCTCTGTCCTTCCCACTCACTTGCTCTGAATTACATGACAGCTTCTCACTGCAGTAGAGTTAATCTGATGGTAGCCCTGGCTCACTGCAGCTCCAAAGCTCTGAATTTATCATTAATTTGGAAAATGCTTTCTGTTCTTGACAATTCATGTTCTTTTCTTCCTTCAAAAGTGTCTAGAAATTTAACTGTTCTTGGGAAGCCAACTAAGACTATCCATTGATCTGAAAATCCTTTCAAAACACTCAGTTAAATATTTATTGAGAGTTTACTACTAGTGAAGCAGAGCTGGAGTGCTCTGTGGAGCTGACATTCTGTGGGACCTCAGCCTTCAGCTTTCATGTCTTTGACTGTCCAGGGCTGATTTCCCATGCCTGGCCTGCCCTACTCCCTATCAGCCCCAGCTTCAGCATTTCTGCCTTGGTGTGCCTCTTCCCTCCATCACTCTTCCTAACTAGGGCAAAGCTGTCTTGTGGGTTCCAGGGTCCTGCTGACCCCTTAGGGGAGGCTACTCACTGCTTCTCGCTCCCGGTCCATGATGGTCTCCAGTTCCTCAAAGTGCCGGAGTTTGATCTCCAGCTTTTTCATCTGGGTTTCCACCAGCAGGGCCACCAAAGATTTGATCTTCCTCTCTTCAACAGCAGCCAAGTGCTAGGCAAGAAGGGGTGGGATAGCACATCAGCGGGAGGACCCAGCTGCAGACATTCCAGGGAAGATAGGATGGGCTGAGGCTGGCAAGTTTAAGAATGAATATGCTAGGCCAGGGATTTAGCTCAGTGGTTCTGCCACCTGCCTTGCAAGAGCAAGGACCTGAGTTCGACCCCCAGTACCAAAAAAATAAAAATAAAAAAAATAATGAATATGGTAGCTGGGTGTGCTGGTGCACAGGACTGATGAGTTTGAGGCCAGCCTGGATTACATACTGAGTACAAGGTCAGCCTGAACTACATAGTAAGACCCTGTCTCAAAAAAAGAAAAAGAGTAGCAAGGGATAAAACAAATGAAGCTGGGTGTGGTGGTGCATGCCTGTAATACCAGCTACTTGGGCGGCTGAGGAAGGATTAAAAGTTTTAGGTCAGTTTGGGAAATTTATCAACATAGCAAAGATCCCGTCTTAAAATTTTAAAAGAGGCCCGGAAATGTGTTCGTGAAGGCCATGGATTCAATTCACACACACACACACATTAAGTCAAATAATTACAGGGCTGGAAACAGACCCAAAAGTTAAGAGATTTAAAAAGTTTACAGAAGAAATGACTAACTCCCTCTCAGCATAAAAATAAAGAAGGCTGAGGCAGGAGGATCACCTCGAGTTCAGTGCCAGCCTGGGCTACACACAGTGAGTTCAGGGCCAGACTGAACTATACAGCAAGACCCTATCTCAAAAAAGCCAAAAATGTCTGGGGATTTAGCTCAGTGGTTTCGCCGCCTGCTGCGCAAGCACAAGGTCCCGAGTTCGATCAAATAAAACCAAAAATATATAAGTAAATTAATTTATTATTTAAATAAACGGACTGGCCTCACCTTGGCCTTCACGGCAGCAGCAGCCAGGGCAGCGGCAGCGGCAGTGGAGAGGTTGCCCTCACCAATATCCCGCTCCACCTTTGTCTTCCTTTCTCCCTCTGACTCCACAACTTCCTTCAACATTTCCTCCTGCCCTTCTTTGGGCTCCTTCTCCTTCTCAGGATCAACTGGGCCAGAACAAAGGTTGAGTCAGATCTACAGCTGCACAGCTCTTTCCTGTACCCCCCACCACCATTCTGGGAGGCTCACCGATGGGGTCCCCATCACTCTTCTCTGACTCCTTCTCACTGTCACCTTCTTTCCCTTTCTCTTCATCCTTCTTGGGAGCCTCACTGGTTTTCTCCTTTGCTTCCTCCTCTACAACCCCTCCTCCTTCTCGGGGTTCCTGAAGTCCCAGTAGAAGAAAAGGAGACATCAGTGGCTGAGGAGATAAATGCTCACACAAAGGGCCCAGGCAGGGGACTGACTTTAGTCCTCTTACTTTAGAGGCGATCTGGCTGCAGAAGACTGCCCCTGGCCAGCTTCCCTAGCACCACAGAGCAGCACCTGGCACCCCCTCCCAGCCCAAGGTCAATCAATCCCTCTATACCTTGGGCTCCTTCTTCTCATCTGCGGCCTGGCCCTCTGCCCGTGCCTCATCAGTCCCGCTCTCCTCTGGGCCCATAGGGAAGGAAAGGAAAGGGAAGGTGTCTGATAACAGAGTCTGTCTGTGCAACATATTTCCAACTGCCCTTCTACCAGCCAAAACCTCACGGAGAGGATCAGTAGGAGCCAAAGCCTCTAAGGTGAAGTCCTGGGGAAAATACAAAAACCCACCAATTCTCCCATTCATGTTTTGCTCTGATGCCAGTATAAGGCACAGACGGCACAGGGAGGCCAGGTGGTTCTGGCCCTTGGTGATAGGGGAGAAATCTGGAAACTTGCCAGGCCTTACCAATGCGCTCAGGCTCATCAGAGGTGGTTCCCGCAATACCACTGCTTTCCAGACCAAAGGCTGGGTCTGCCTTGCCTGTCACTTTGGCTGCTTCTTCCACTTTCCGAACATGGGCCTCCACCAAGGCTGTGGGTACCTCTTCCTTCATTTTGGAGAACTCCTCTGTAAGACCCAGAGAGGATGAGGCTGGGACAGTGCAGGTGAGCAGTTCTGGCTATCTTTGTGAAAGCTTCCTCACAAGCCCATCTCTTAGTCTCTAAGACCAGAACAGACCCTAGACAGGTATCCAAGTGGAGACCAGCAGAGATAAGGCCAACAGGGCAGCCAAATTTGAGAGGGTTTCACAGTTTGAGTATCTGGTTCTTCAAAATCAAACTAAGAAGGCCGAGACACCCTCCCACCCCCCACCCCCACCCCGTTACCTAGGGCTGACTTTGCAGCAGCAGAGGCGACTCGGGGATCGACGACAGAGGCTAGGAAGGCAACAGTGCTCATAACAGGGTTGCCAGACTGACTGAAGGGGATGGGCTGGTAGGCCAAGGGGCCCAGAGAGGCCTCTGAGTCCTCCAGATACGGGTCTTCAATGGGAAGGCGAAGAAAATGCAAGATGCATTCGTCCTGCGTGCGGCTTCCCACATGCTCAGATACTTTGTTCCAGTCATCCTTGTACATTTCCAGGGCCTGGTGGTAGTGGTGGAGACACAACTCTGCTTACTTAGCCACTTTCCTTGAAGGTCAACTCCCCCCATCCTACTAAAGACAGCTGGCTTCAAAGCTCTCTGTGTTCTGTATCTGTGTACTCTGCTAGGTCCAAGGGGGGGTCTCCAAGTAGCACTAAGAAAGGATATGGAGTTAGTAAAGGAGTCAAAATGCCTGGCTTGGAACTGTTCCTGGGGCAGGCATGAGGAAGGGGAGACTGGGGCAAGATCACACCCTGCTCACCCCAGATTCCATGAGTTCTCTCCACTCACAAATGAAAGTAGCACCCTGGCCACTTCTGTTTTCGCAGAACTTGCTTTTCCTTTCCCCAATTACCTCCAGGAGTAGCAGGGTCTCCTGTTCTGTCCACTCTCGAGTGGCACTGGCTGCAGCTTTGCTCTGCAGGGGAAATATGGACAGGTCAGGAGAGAGAAGCCTGTGACGTCTGAGGAGGAAAGATTTTGCGCCCCAGGTCAGCTGTACCTCATACCTTGGAGGGGACGTTTTTCTTTGTGTACATGTCTGTGCGTAGCCCAAAGTTCTGCATGTCTGTTGGTTTCTCTTTGCCTTTGTCGGGAAAGTTGAGCATTTGCTGGGAAGCAGAGGTCTGCTAGTTGTGGAGGAGAAAGAAAGAGGTGAGTACAAGTGACCATAGGAGCCAGGGGCAGACAGAGAGAGAAAACAGACAGAAGGAGCTTCCTTCCCAAAGCCAGGGATGCCCCTGGGCGGGACTTCCTCCCTTATTGCTGCAGCTCCTCTGCTCTCATGTCTCTTCTTCCCGGGCAGGGGTCCCCCAATAAAGGGGCGAATAAGAAGCCAGCGGGGTCTGCACCCCACCTACCAGCTCTGGCTTGCCCTTAGCCGTCTCTGGCACCAGGTCATCGAGCTCTTTGCCCTTCCGCCCAGCCTTGGTATCAGCATCAACCTGGCGGCCCTGGGGGACAGAGCTTAGCGTCATGGAGGCTGGGCAGGAAATGGCTAGGCCAAGGCCCTAGAGGCCTCAAGACCAAATGCTGGGCAGCCCACAAGCTCTGGAAGCTCTCATGCCACTGTTCCATGCGGCCTCCAAGATTAATTAATTACATATGTAGCTGGCATGATATCCGTTTATATTCACGTAGAACTTTACAGGTTCTCTTAGGAGCTGGGCAATTAGGTTCTAGTCCTAGATTTGGTCCTCTGTGACCTTGGGCAAGCCACAAAACCTTTCTCCTCTTATTATTTTTTTTTTTTTTGGTACTGGGGATTGAACTTGGGTCCTTGCACTTGCGAGGCAGGAGGCAGAACCACTGGGCTAAATCCCTGGTCCTCTCCTCTCAATTCTTGTAATGGATGAAATGGAAATGAAAAAAAATGGAGGTGATAAAAATCATGACTCAAAAATGAAAAAATATGGGAAAATGACAAAGTTTAAAAAGTTCATATGTTAATTTCAAGCCATTTTTCTCTATCTGTTCCACCTCCTACATTAACCTGCCAGTTCCCTGAGTATAGGGAGCAATTCTTCTTGCTCAGCAAGTCCTCACAGCTTTAGATACTGAGGCTGAGAGGGGGGTAAACACATAGCGCTTATTTCTCTGGCCCTTTGTATCCCATGGAAAAGGAAGAAGCCTCAACATACTGCTGGACCATGACCCTAGAAAACCAGAAAAGAAATGTCCAAAGAAGCCCAATCTTACCCACTCCACCACCCCATCCCCAGAGTCCCTCACTCTACCTGTGGGGTCTTCGGTTGCAGGGGTACCAGCCCTGATGGTGTGTCAGCCAACACATGGAAGTGGGAGGTGGGTGGAGGGCCCATCGGGGTTGGTCGACTCTCAGCATCCACTTGGTAGTTAATAAGACCCCACTGTTCTAGGAAGGCATGGACCCTGTGAGGAAGAGTCAGGGTCACACAGGATAGCCAGAAAGGTGCATGAGGAGGGGTGCTGGGACATAAAACTCCTTTCCATCCATCCTCTTCTCGGTTCTCTCTACTCCCACCCTCCATCCTCCATCTAAATGTCAGTGACACCCAAGTACACATTCCAGCCTGGGCCTTTCTCCATTGCTTCCCAAACACCTCTTCCTGGAGAGCCAGTAAAACTGAACCACTACTTTGGGTTACAGACACACTTCTTCTTTCTCCTTTATTTTACATTTCCAATCCCTCAAGACACTCATTCCCCAAACCTGTCCCCAAACCTTTCTCTAAAAGTTGTTCTCCTGCCCTACATTTCCTGCAAGCATCTCTAGTTCTGCCAAGAGACCCTTGGGCAGACTCTTCATGTTCCCGTTGCCTCTCACCAGCAAGACCCACCTCATGATGGCACAGACATCACCTGCCAGGTTGCGTCGGCAGGCAGTGGATGTAAGATACTCCTGGGGATTCAGTCGGTAAGTGTCAATCATGAAGTTTCGATAAGCCAGGTAGCTTAGAAGAGACAGAAAGATGAACAAGAAAAGGAAGAAAAATAAATGTTGAGGGCTAAAGGGTAGGAAAAATGATTTTAAAAAAGCTAATGATCAGGGCCGGGGATTTAGCTCAGTGGTGCCACTGCCTGCATCACAAGTGCAAGGTCCCAAGTTCAATCCCTGTTACCACCTCCCCCCCCAAAAAAAAGAAAAAGAAAAAAAATAAAGCTAATGATCCCTCCTGTGTGACAAAGAAAGAGATTCAACAAAATCTGAGTGCCTGAGATGTGCTAAATACAAGGGATTCAAGCATTTCTTCTATTTTTCTTGATGGGTTTTTTAATTAAATGATTTTTCCCATTATATTTGGGGATGTTTCACCCAACTTTGTTTTCAGTGTGAGGGACTGAACCCAGGGCCTTCACACTGAGCTTCATTCCCAGCTCTTTTTTTTTCCTTTTGCTACAAGGTCTCACTAAATCACTAAATTGCCCAGGGTGGGCTGGAACTTGTAATCCTTTTGCCTCAGCCTTCCAGAGAGCTGGGATTATAGGTGTGCTCTACCAAGACTTGTTATCACCTAACTTCTGAACAAGGAATCTAAAGGTAAGAAAAAATGTCCTTGTTTAGGAACTCAGATGTTAAACGGAAGTTCCTATTCATGCATTCAGCTAGCCACCATGGCACTGGAGAATATATTTTCAAATTGTAAAGATCTAAGTTCAAGTCCCACTTTTACCACAAAGCTTTGGCAAGTTACTTCCATGTTTGCATCTTAAACTCCTCACCTGTAAAATGGAATATATGTTGTGGATTAGAGAGGTCTGCAAAGTACTAGTATAGTGTCTAATACTATGGCTCAAAAAGTAGGAGGTATTATAAAGTCTGAGAATATAAGCCATACTGAAGGATGTGAGACCTGGTTGGACTGCTGCAGCTGTGTGACCTGACCCCAGTGATTTAAGGTGCCTACAACCCAGTTTCCTAACCTGAAACAATCTTTTGAGTTTGCTATGAAGATTAAATTAGTAGCCAGGCATGGTGGTGCAAGCTAGTAATGCCAGCTACTCAGAAGGCTGAGGCTGAAGCAGGAGGATTGCCAGTTTAAGGATAGCCTCGGATACATAGCAAGACCCTATCTCAAAATAAAAAAATAAAAGCCTAGGGATGTAGCTCAGGAGTAGAGTGTGCCCCAGGAATCAGTATCAGGGGAAAAAAAAAGATTAAATCAGTCAATATATTGGACACTTCTTTTAGAATGGTGTTTAAGTGATAGTAAGCTCTCAACAGATGCAGCAATTACCATTATTTTTGTTGTTGTTGTTTTGTTTTTTGAGGGAGGGTCTCCCTATGTAGTTCAGGTTGTCTGTCCTTAAACTTACTACGTAGCCCAGGCTTGCCTTGTACTTGCTACAGTCCTCCTGCCTCAGCCTCCTGAGTACCGGGATTAAGGCATGTGCCACCACACCTGGCTGCCATCATTTACTATTTTATACCAAGAATTCAGTTCCTATTCAAGCCAGAAGTCAGGTTGAATCTGGCATCTGGTCACTACTTTTCTTTCCTTTCACATACACTGCTTTCCCCAGGAAGAAGGGGAACAGAGAACTATACCAAGAGTTCAGTTCCTATTCAAGCCAGAAGTCAGGTTGAATCTGGCATCTGGTCACTACTTTTCTTTCCTTTCACACACACTGCTTTCCCCAGGAAGAAGGGGAACAGAGAACTATACCAAGATATGGGGAAAGAAATGTGGTAAGAATAGAAGATACACCAAAGAGGAGAATCTGGGGAACAGCTAGAAAGAGAACTTGTTTAGGTCTGCTACACCTACTTCATCACTTACTTATCCTAAAGTACTCATAATCACAGAAAACTGCCAAGTCTCATCTAAAGTCACATAGATTTGACTGGACGTAAAACCTTAAAAGAGACAAAGACTTCTGAGCCCCAAGCCTGCCCTTTATATATACTTCCTTCTCAGGAAGGAGTCTTCATTCGTTAATTCACAGACTTGGGTTTTCCCTCGCTTAGTTCCTTCCTTCCGCTTTTCTTTTCATTTTTTTGTTTTTTGAGACAGGGTCTCACCATGTAGTTCAGGCTGGTCTTGAACTCACTGTGTAGCCCAGGCTGACCTCAAACTCACAGCAATCCTTCTCCCTTAGCCTCCTGAGTACTGGGATCAGGTGTGCGCCACCGTGACTGGCTGCTTCTGCTTTTCTATCAAATCTCTTAGGGACCAGTCTGGCACAGTCATTTATACTTTAATCAAAGCTATTGTCTGGCCTATCATGGCCTTCCTCACAATAGCCACCCTCTACTTTCTCCAAGGCGTTCTTTTATCTTGCTTTTTCCTTTTTTACTTGGCCCAAGCTCACTCTCCAGAACCAGTTTCTCCCTCACTCTCCATTTTTACATTTTCAAATAAACTTTGCTATTGCTAAAAAACAAAAAAACTCAAAGCTATTGTTTGTTCTAGGGTTTTTGTTTGTTTTGGTTTTTTTTCAGTACCAGGGATCAAACTCAGGACCTTGCACTTCCGAGGCAGGCGCAGTGCCACTGAGATAAAACCCTGGCCCTGTGCTAGGGTTTTATCTTCTATCACAGTGGTGGGGACTGAACCCAGGGCCTTTTGTTTTGAACCACATCTCCAGCTCTTTTTATTTTTTTAATTTTAAAACAGGGTCTTGCTAAGTTGTTCAGGCTGGGCTTGAGCTCCTGCCTCAGCCTCCCAGAGTGCTGAGTCTACAGGCATGTACCACCCTGCCAGTTTTTATCTGCATTTTAGATGATAACAGTAATCATGGACTAAAAGGCTCTGAGCTTCATTAGAAGTATCTGAAGCACTGGAGCAGGTGCATGGGTTTTTTTTTTGGTACCTGGGATCGAACTCAGGACCTTGCGCTTGCCAGGTAGGCGGCAGAACCACTGAGCTAAATCCCCGGCCCCGGAGGTACACGTTTTATACAGAACACAACACTTAATACCAACCTTGGGCAAACCCTAAAGCATCTATAACTGCTGACCTGCAGCTGCCTAACAACCAAGTATCATGTCTCTGAGAGCCTAGCACAGTTGTGGCGAACCTATGGCACGTGTGCCACAGCAGGGTGTTTGCATCATTGAAAGCTCTAAAAGGTTTGCCATCACTGGCCTAGAACAACATGTAGATGGATGGAACTCAAATGTTTGCTAAACTGAATGCTGCTGGATCAGGAAGCATGAATAGGACAACAGGAAGAAACAAAACCATGAGCTGAAATTTCCTTACATTTCTGGGGTCTTGGACTTGTTCTTGCCATTAAAGAATTCAGGTAGAGCCCTCCGCTCAATAGCATGAACACTGCAAAAGAATACAGAATAGATTCAGAAGATGGTCAAGGAGAGAGAAGGTGGTAGGGGGACCTATCTTTGATAGGTCCTTTATCTTCATCTATGTGCCTGTAAGCTCTTTTTTTTTTGGTACCAGGGATTGAACTCAGGACCTTGCACCTGCAAGGCAGGCAGCAGCACCACTGAGCTAAATCCCTGGCCCTGTAAACTCTTAAGGGACTGAGACTGAATCCAAATCAAATGACTCTGAAGAGGAGTGGTCAAATCTTAAAACTCCTTTCTTTTTTGTGCGTGTGGTATTGGGGATAGAACCCACTTTTTAAAAAAAATCCCCATTTATTCCTTCCCCAAAGGGAGGAAAAGCCCAGAAGTTGGGATGGACAAATAGCTCACATCTGTAGGAATTACAAACTTGGAGAGAACTTCCCACCAGAGTTGGAGGACTCAAAAGAGATCAGGAGTTCCTGTAAAACTCAAGTGCACCCTGGTGTATTTCACTGAGGAAGAAATAACGTATATGCTGATAACAGAAGAAACAACTTCTTGACCTCCCCAGAAGCAGGGAACTAAGGATTCAGTGAGAAGTCACAACAGTACCTGTTGTAGTCAAACCAGGCAGCATAGCTGGGAATGATGATGTGGTGGGTCTGCTCAGTTACATTGTCCTCATGCAGGTCTGGATTCTTGGTCTGCTCCCCCTTGTTCCCCGTACTGCTCTCATCCTCATCCTACAAGTATGGAGTCTGCTGGACAATAGCATTCCCATTTCCCCCAGCAACCCTCTGCTTCTCCCACAGCCTGGGAATGTGGACACTTCACGATGGGAGCTGGGGATGAACACCATTGGCTCCAGACTGAAGGGGTCAGAGTTTTGAACAACAGCTGGAATTAGTTTATGGAGGGGTGGGGGGAGTCTGAGTAAAAGGCACTTTATAATCACAAATCAGAATCACATAGAGAGGTAGGGCCTGTCTAAACTGGCTCCACCTTGCCCGTGGTCTCCATGCTTTCATCTTCTTGTTCATCTGAAAGAGAAGACAGCAACATATAAGGCTGGAGCCTCCTGAGGGCCAGGAGTTGTATTGGTAACCCCACTGGGTCAGGACAAGGTGGCGAGGACAAGGTGGCGCTGAGCCCTCCCCAAGCCTTGGGCACTGCCTGTCTTGCCTGGGGTTTCCCATCTTACCCAGGTCTGTCATGGTGCCTCCTTTGACTGGGGCTGACTCTGAGTCCTTCTTAGTATTGACTGTCAGAAGAGAAAGCCATTTTATCAGACTCATTATGCCAAAGTCAAGGGCCTATCTGTCTACTGTTAAGTCTTAAGATATCTTACTTTCTCTAAAAATTTTCTCCATCTGATCACAAAATACAGTAACTTCCTCTAGTCACAATTATTCTATGGCAGTGGTGGTGAACTTACAGCACTTGTGCCTCAGTGGGCCATGTGTACCACTGAAAGCTCAAAAGGCTTGCCATCACTGTCTAGGGCTTAAAACTCCCTTGCTACTATAGGGCCAGGGATTTAGCTCAGTGGTTCCGCCACCTGCCTTGCAAGCCAAGGACTCAAGTTCGATCCCCGGCACCAAAAAACAAACAACTCCCTTGCTACTTACCTCCTTCTTCAGTCAAAGGTTACCTTACTTATCTGCATATATTCTCTTTTTTTTTTAATCTGCATATATTCATAAGTCTTTCTTTTTTTTTGAGACAGGGTCTCACTATGTAATTCAGCCTGGCTTTGAATTCACTATGTAGCCCTCAAACTCGTGGCAATCCTCCTGCCTCAGCCTCCCAAGTGCTGGGCTTACAGATGTGTGCCACCACACCTGGCTCACTCCAGCCAGATTTTAAACATTTTTGAAAGTGAAGAACACTTTTGTTAACTGAATTCATAAACAAAATCTTAAGGAAAACAGAGAGAGAAACTGACGAGGAAATAAGGGTGAACTTTCAGCCAAACCCATCTTGGAATATACTCCTAGTATAACCTATAACCAAGGCCAGTCTACAGAAGAGAATGTAAATGGTATTGTAGACCAGTGGCCTCCAAGAAGCAGTGGCCTCTTCCATGGAACACAAGAGAGTATCCAGTAGAATCGTACACGTTTTTGGTTGTTTTAGTACCCTGGGTATTGAACTCGGGTCCTTGTGCTTGCAAGGCAGGCGGTGGAACCACTGAGCTAAATCCCCAGCCCTATCACAATTTGTTGTTGTTTTTATTTTTTTTCATACTGGGGATTGAACTCCAGACCTTGCGCTTGCGAGGCAGGTGGCAGAACCACTGAGCTATATCCCCGGCCTAATTATCCACTGGAATACAGGAAGAAACTTTCAGAATGTATTTGTACATTTGTTTTTATTATCCTTTACATTTTTCCTTTTTTTTTCTTTTAGTACTAGGAATTGAACCCAAGGCTTTACGCATGCTAGGCAAGGGCTCCACCACTGAACAACATCCTCATTTTTCCATTTTTTAGGTAATATTTACATGTGTTTTATAATGATCCCAAAGTAGTGATTTAATAATATATGTATATAATATATGCTCGAATATATTTCATTGATGGGAATCACAATCAAAGAGAGTTTGGAGGGGGCTGGGGATTTAGCTCAATGGTTCTGCCACCTGCCTCGCAAGCCCAAGGTCCCAAGTTCGATCCCTGGCACCAAAAAAAAAAGGATTTTGGAAAGGGCTGGGGATGTAGCTCAGTGGTGCCGTGCCTGCCTAGCAAGCACAAGGTCCTAAATTTGATCCCCGGTACCACAAAAAAAAAAAAGATACAAAAAAGAGTTTGGAGCTGGGTGTGGTGTCTCATGCCTATAATCCTCCCACTTGGGAAGCTGAGGCAGTAAGATCAGGATTGCTACAAGTTTGAGGCCAACCTGGGCTACATAATGAGTTCAGGCCAGCCTGAACTACATAGTGAGACCAAGAATTTGGAGGGCAAGGGATGCAGTTCTGAGGTAGAGCATATGCTAGCATGCATAAAGCTCTGGGTTCAATCTCAGCACAGAGGTGGGGTTGGGTACCTATAATCCCAGAGTTGGCAGGCAAGCCCAGACTGGTCAACCCAGCAATTTAGCAAGACCCAGTCTCAAAAAAACATTTTTTTTTTTCAGTTTTTTGAGACAGGATCTTGCTATGCAGTCTAGGTTGGCCTCGAACTTGTGGGCAATCCTCCTGCCTCAGTCTTCTGAGTGCTAGAATTACAGGTGTGTGCCACCACGCCCAGCTCAAAAAAAAAAGGGCTGGGAATGTAGCTCACTGGGATGGCCCTGGATTCAATTCCCAACACCATCAAAAACAAAAAAATAAAAGTTCAGAGACAATTATTACTAGGCACAAAGCATGTGCATAATTCATATTTAGATGTGAAGTGAGATTTTTCCTTGGTAATAATAAGTTCACTAAATATCTAAACTGATGGGGAAAGCTACTCTAGACCTGGAACTAGATTGGGGAAACTAGCTCACTCAAGGAGTGCCACAGGTAGGACAGGGAGTGGGTGACCCCAGGCACTTGGCTGCCCAGTACCTGTTTTGGGTAGCGTCACTTCTTCTACATTGGGGACTGGAGAGGGCTCATCCATGTCCTTTGTCAAGTCTTCTTGCTCTTCTTCTCTGTGGCCACGTTTTGACTTGGTGTAAGGTGTTGAGGGACTGGGAAGGAAAGAAAGTAAAAGAGAATCTGGTTACCCTTGTACAATGAGCCCCCAGAAACTGGGGTTCAAGGGAAAGGCAGCAAAACAGAATCTCAAGGGTAGAAATGAGCACAAACAGAAACTAGTAGCTATAGAGTAAGGGGGGGTGGCAAAGTCTTTTCATTTGGTGATTAAACTTAGTTTACTGTGTGCTGGGACTAGAACAAACAACTGGGTGGCTAAGAACGGACTCATCCTTTTCTCAGGACACTTACAGTGTCATAGCATACATAGGTCAGGGCCCAGTGACCACAGGAAGGAATTTATCCTTCTTTTGTTTGACATGGTATGGACAGAATGGTGAATGTTGGGCTTATTAGGAGCTGGCATACCCTTTCTTAGCATTTTTCTTCTTAGCTTCTGGGGTCGGTGAAGGAGAGGGGGAGCACTTCCTTTTCTTATAGTTCCCCCCCTTCTTGTCACGTCGATCTGAATCTGGACTGTTCACCTGCAGGAGAGAAAATTAGGACAAAGGTCAGCCTATAATCCCCAGTGAAGACTCCAGGAAGAAAGAAAGGGATTTTCACCTCATCTGTCAGTGTCTTAGCCGAAATCTTCTTTCGGCGTGAGACAGGGTTTTTGTCATCATTTACTTCATAGTCTTCCTCATTCATCCATTCATTAAAGGTGTCTGTATCCAGGATCCACTTTGCATGAACCTGTAGTACAAAGGCATGCTAGGCGTAGTGGCACACGTCTGTCACCCCAGCACTGAAGGAGGCTGGGGCAGAAGGACTGCAAATTTGAGTCCTGGTAGGGTAATTTAGCAAGACTGTCTCAAAATAAAAAATAATAGGAAAAAAAAGGAGGTTGGAGATGTAGCTCAGTGGTAGAGTGCCTTTGGGTTTGATTTCCATTACACCACAAGAAGTACGTACACGTACACACACACACACACACACACACACACACACACACACACAGAGGTAGACTGTGCTGAGAACATGGAAACCATGGCTCTGTATGAGGATCCTCAGTGGAAAAAGCCCAAGAGCACTTTGTCTCCAGAATGGTCTGGTCTTATCATTCTTCCTAGCGTGGGCTGTACAAGAAAAGCTCACCTTCCTAGGTTTCTCTGGAGTTGGAGCATCTTCCACAGATGCTTCAATTTCACTGGCTGGAATCCACGTGTCATAACTGCCAGGAGAAATTGAGTGATGTGAGTTAGAACCAATAGGACAGAGTTATAGAAAAGTAAAGTACAGATCTTTTATCTTTTCCATTTACAAAAAAAATTGGTTGTTGGCATAATTTTTGGTATGATCATTTTTCCAATTAATATTGGGATTCTTTTTAGGGCCAGGGATTTAGCTCAGTGGTGCTGCTGCCTGCCTGGCAAGTGCAAGGTCCTGAGTTTGATCCCCGATACCAAAAAACCCCCACAAAAACAAAAACAATTAAAAAACACAAAAAACAACAAAAAAACAAATACTGGGATTCTTTTTACTACAAAGTAATAAAGCCACATAAAACATTTTAAAAATACAGAATGATTTTCTCACAAAGAAATGATAAATATTTGAAATGATGGATACGTGAACCATCCTGATTTGATCTGTGTACATTGTATACATGTCAGTTAAACTTAAAAAAATACAGAATGAATAAAAAATAATACAGAATGAAAAGAAACAGCTTAACATAATTATTCTTGAATGGGGCCGGGGATTTAGCTCAGTGGTTCTGGTGCCTGCCTCGCAAGCACAAGGTCCCAAGTTCGATCCTCGGTACCCAAAAAAACAAAACAAAAACAAACAAAAAAAACCCCATAATTATTCTTGATACAGTACATATGTTTTCCTTGGAAACCTTTTTTTTTTTTGGCAGTACTGGGGATTGAATCCAGGGCCGTTATACTGTGCTAATCTCCAGACCCTTCCTCCTTTTCTTGGAGATAACATCCTGCTAAATTGCTGAGGCTGGGCTTTACCTTGTGATCCTCCTGCCTCAGCCTTCAAAAGTGCTGAAATTATACCTTTGCACCATCACACCCAGCTTTCCTGGTGACTTTTTTCTGTACAACTTTGGTTTTATATAACTGTAATCATAATAGATATAATTTTGGGGTCTTTTTGTTTTGTTTTGGTATCAGGGATTGAACTCAGGACCTTGTGCTTGCAAGGCAGGTGGCAGCACCACTGAGCTAAATCCCCAGGCCCTCATAATAGATACAATTTTGATGTTGTTATTATTCAGTGGTGCCTGAGATCAAACCCAGGGCTCATGTAGCTATATCCCTACCTCCCCCAGGCCCTAGGTATTATTTCACATGGTACTTTTTTGGGGGGAAGTGGTAACAGAGTTTGAACTCAGGGCCTCTGCACTGAGCTACATCCCTGGCTCTTTTTTCTTTTCTTTTCATTTTTATTTTCTTGGAGACAGGATCTTGCTAGGTAGTGCAGGCTGGACTTGAACTCACTATGTAGCCCAGGCTGACCATGAACTGCTGGCCTCAAACAATCCTTCTCCCTTAGGCTCCTAAGTAGCTGAGAATACAGGTGTGTACCTTTGTGCCTGGTTTACATATGCTATTTTTGGCTATCATCTTCATCTATAAAATATCAGTATTACTTTATATCACATTACAGGCTACTTAATAGCTCACTGAGTAGATATACAAATGTGCTGGAACATTTTCCTACTGTCAGACTGTTTTAATATTTATTTATCAAAAATTGGGAGGGCCGGGGATTTAGCTCAGTGGTTTCGTCGCCTGCTCCGCAAGTGCAGGGACCTGAGTTCGATCCCCAGTACCAAAAAAAAAAAAAACACACACACACACACAAAAAATTGGGGCCGGGGATTTAGCTCAGTGGTTCCGCTGCCTGCCTCACAAGCACAAGGTCCTGAGTTAGATCCCTGGTACAAAAAAAAATTATATTGGGAGACTTGAAGGTGTAGCTCAATGGCAGAGTGTGTGCTTAACATAAGTAAAGCCCTGGGTTCAATCCCCAGAAGGCAAAAACAAAAACAAAACTGAGATAATTTAACACAGAGCCCCAGTCCTTTTAGCCTGAGCCTCATCCAATAAGTTTAAATCTCCAAAAGAGAGGAAGGATTGCCAATAGGTAGGAGAACAAATGCTTTCTTTCCCTGCTATATGTTCCAGGGCTTCTGGGCCTAGCTCTGGCTCTTGTACTTAAACCTGCCCCAGGAACTCATCCTTACCTGTCAGGATAGTAGCCCCAGTGCAGAAGAACCTGTTTATCTCTCTTCATGACTGGTCGTACCCACTCCTCTGGGGATAGAGACAAAGAGAGACAGATAAACTAAGAGGGACACAAAAAATAACTCTGGACAAAATCCCTAAGGACTCTGCTTCTGCAGCAGAGGACTTGGTAATAAGAACTCTAGACAAGAGAATTCGTGGTTAAAAGGAGAGAGGAACCCAGGCTCTGCAGTGACTAGAGTAGTCCTCTAGTTGGAGAGTTTAAGCCACGCACTGCATGGCCAGAAAACCCAGTTCTCACCTTCTTCTAGGTTTCCTGGGACAGGATACACAACATGGGAAGCATTGTTCTTATCTTCAGTGACTGTTCCCTGGATGGCACAAGGAGAACGAGGTAAATGTAGTCTCCTTTAATTATTCTTTTTTTTGGTACCAGGAATCAAACTCAGGATCTTGCACTTTCAAGGCAGGCAGCGGAACCATTGAGCTAAATCCCCAGTCCTCTTTTAATTATTCTTGAGTGTAAATAAATCAAAAGAAGATAAAACTACACATCTGCCTGCTTGATCACATTCTGCTTAGACTGGTATTAAATTTAGTCTGTGGGCCGCGGATTTAGCTCAGTGGTTCCGCTGCGTGCCTTGCAAGCGCAAGGTCCTGAGTTTGATCCCTGGTCTCAATAAAGAAACGAAAGAAATGAAAGAAAATAAAAGAAAAGAAAAGCAAGCAAGCAGGAAAGAAAGGAAGAAAGAAAAAAGGAAGGAAGAAGGAAGTCAGTCTGCATTCTCTTAGCACATAAGTTGAGTGGCAGAGAAAAGAGCTAGGATTATGCTAAAAATGGAGAAAAATCAAAGAATTAAACATTGCTGCACATAATCCACTGGATACATTATCTACACATGGGAAATTTAAAGTTGACAGTATTTTTTTTTGGTAGCAGAGATCGAACTCGGGTCCTTGTCCTTGCGCAGCAGGCAGCAAAACCACTGAGGTAAATCCCTGGCCCAACGATATGTTTTTATCAACTGCATTTACTTGTTATAAAGTTCCAAAGAGCAAGGATTTCATTTATCTGAAATTAGGGAATTTCTAGCTCAGAGGAAATGGATGCTTTTTTCCCTAGGCCAATGGAGTCTCTAGAAACAATGCTCCAGTCCCTGACAGGATTGGGAAATGGAAGAAGCAGAGAGAAAAGGAAAGGCTCAAGCTTTTCTTTTTTCTCCCCATTACTAGAGACTGAATCCAGAGCCTCCCACTGAACTACATCCCCAGTCCTTTATAAATTTTTTTTTTGGTATTGGAGATCGAACTCGGAACCTTGTGTTTGCAAGGCAGGCAGAGATACCACTGAGCTAAATCCCCGGCCCGTCCTTTCTAATTTTGAGACAGGGTCTTGCTAATTTGTCCAGGCTAGCCTCAAACTTGTGATCCTCCTGCCTCAGCTTCCCAAGCAACTAGGACTACAAGTGTGCACCACTGGGCCCAACAAGGCTTTAGCTCTGGTCTTTGCCAAATAGAAAAAGCCATCTATGCAGTAATAGAAAACATGGTACTTCAAGCCAGGCATGGTGGTACATGCCTATAATCCCAGCAGACAGGAGGCTGAGGCAGGAAGATTACCATGAGTTTGAGGCCAGCCTGGGTTACGAGGTGAGACCCTGTCTCAAAAAAACCAAACAAGGGGGCCGGGGATTTAGCTCAGTGGTTCTGACGCTTGCCTTGCAAGCGCAAGGACTGGAGTTTGATCCCTGGTACCAAAAAAAGCAAACAAACAAACAAGGGCTAGGGATTTAGATCAGTGGCACCGCACCTGCCTGGCAAGCACAAGGTCCTGAGTTCAATCCCCCATACAAACAAACAAGCAAAAAAAGCATGGTATTTCAGGGTTGCTTTCTAGTATGGAAAACATCAGGAAAAGAGTCGTGGAATTCTGAAATATCTCCTGACCTGACACTCACCTGGTGTCTCTTGACAATGTCCTTTAATTTCCCTAGCAGTTTGGGCTCAATATCTGGGCACAGAAAAATGTTAGGTCGAGACAAGCAGTTATTCTGTGGGGACAGGAAATAGATCATGAGGTCATGAGTAGAAGTGTTTTGAATTCTCACTAAGGGAAGGGAGATGGAGGTTCCTGTGTATTACCTGAACCAAGGACTTCTCAATGGTCATGAACATTTCCACATTGCGGTCCATGCGTGATGGATTCTGGAAATCATAACGCCTCCTTATGAAAAGACAATAATCTAGTGAGCAGTGTAGCTCATGTCTGTGACTTCCTAACATGGGGAACTCAGAGGTATCTTGCTCATAGCTGTTGCCAAAATCACCCAGGATCTGGGTTTCCTGATCTCAACTCCATGAATCACTCTGTTTAATCTAAAAGGACAAAAAACAACCTGAGATACCAACTTAAGTATCTCTCTTTCTCTACAACACACACACGCACACACACGCACACACACACGCACACACACACGCACACACACACACACAAACACACACACGGAAAATATTTTGGCTTTGACTCTCACTTACTTTTCTGAACTAGAATTAGCAACACACAGAATTTCTACCTATATTCTCCCACCCCAGAAAGACCTCAGTGAATTACAGTGGGGGTTTCTCTCTAAACTAATGTAAGAAGCATAGAGAGAGGGCATCTCACCATCCCTGGTCACTCTTGAACTTGTAAGCAGCTGCAAGTATGTGGCATAGGGAACCTCCTGCTTTGAAATCTAGGAAACATTTGATCTACAAAATCCAAACAGGGAAAAAGCATGTGAGAGTTACATTGTAAATTCTCTTATCACTTAAAAATCTTTTCACAAAATCCCACCTGATCTGATCTGCCGCCCAAAACTAGAATTCTTGAATTCTTTTGGCATTTTATCATCTGGCCTGGAAGAGGAAACCAATATTCACAAGGCATCATCTTGTGCTGAGGACTTCACTGGGTTACCTCATTTGCTACTGCAGAGTTCCTACAAGGTAGCAATTTCAGCTAGAAGTGAAGGAACCAAGACTCAAGAAGACTGCCATGATCACAGAGCCATCAAGTGGCAAAATCTGGACTTGAACACAAACCTGTGCAAATCTAAATCTCATGCCCTTTTAACTATACCATGAAAGATTCATGGACAGAGCAGGGCTACTATCAGATAACTTGTTGCAAAAAGTATTACTAAAGACAAAGGGAATGATAATTTGGGGACTAGGCCAAACCAGTAATGCCTTGACCAGGATTAGGGATGGTAAGAAATAGAACCAAATCCCCCAAATTATGAAATTTACAAATATTTTAAAAAACACAATTTTCTCTCCCGTTTGGTTTTGTTTTTTGTTTTGTTTTGTTTTTTTGTACCAGGGATGGAACTCAGGTCCTTGAGCTTGCACAGCAGGTGGTGAAACCACTGAGCTACATCCCCATTCCTCTCTCTCCAGTTTGGAGGACACATCCCCTTGCTCTTGCACTCACCGGCAGTTTAGTGAGCGGTGCATTGCTGACATGTTTGCCAAAAACTTCTTCCTGAAATTGTAGCAACTGCACAACCAGGCTAGACAAGGACTTGTTGGTGGGTGGTTCAGCTTGTATATACTAAGGAAAGAGGGAAAGGAAAGAAAAGTAGACCCCAGATAAAATGTCTATTAGCTCTTTTATTTCTTCCCCATGGGCTGGGGAAGCTTCTGGAGCAAAGAAAATAGTATCTTTGTCCCCTACATGTCAAGTCACTATAAAGAAAACAGTAAAAAGGAGGTCCTAGGAACCCCTAACCAGGAAAGGGAGCCATGCTACCACCTGCCAGAGTTGGGTGTTGGTGGTAAGGGACACTTCCTACTCTTCCCCAGTTAAACCCTGAAACTGGAGTTTCAGGACCTTGATCTCCAGGCAACAGCACCAAGAACTGTAAAATTCTGAAGGTTTATGGAGTTCAGGCTAGGGAAGCAACATCCCTTTGAAGGTCTAAGTGAGACAACAGTATATTTCTTGGGGGAAACTTGTGGAAGGCAATGATTCCCCCTAACATAATAAAAAAGAAAGGAGCAAGGAAGTGAGGTATGGCAAACAGACTCTGAGTGAACTTGTGCATTTTGCTTCTGCTAGAACTGGTAATGTCTTTCCAGGCCTGGACCAGCTACTGCCCAGCCTGATGAAGAACAGCAAGATAGCATGTAACCCTTCCGAGGAAACTGTCTAAGACAAGCAACTCTGGGCCTCCTTAAACGTTTCCATATTATGCTACCTGCCATTCTAGCCTTCTGTTCTAATTCAAACTGAGAACCAGGAGGCTAACTTTCTCTTTACCTTTTGACCCTTGTTTCCTCCACCCTAAGCGTACTCCTCAGTGGGAGGTGTAAAGAGAACTGTGAAGGGAAAGGTAAATGACAAAGAGCTAAGAGCTTGAAAGCTGAACCAGGTCACAGGCTGTCAATCCCCCCCAGGGCCAGAGACTAAGCCCCTAGACTGATCTCCCTTCAAAGGTAGAAGGCTGGGAACTAGAGCCTCATGCTGGGGTACAGACAAGCTACAGACCCAGCAGCTGTTTGTCAGAATTCTGACACCCAAAGAGACTCTTAAATATGATCGCAGGCCAAGAGCACACCCAGGGTTAGTGGGGGCACTCTCCTAAACTGCCCAACATACCTGACAGGCTGCAAAGCTGGGCAGGAAAAATCGGGGAGCTGAAGGAAAGCTAGGAGAACCCTGGGGTGGGGAGAAAGAAGAGAAGCACCATCTCCAGATAAAACTAGGCCTTAAAGACAAAGACACCAGGAAGAGGTTTGGTAAAAAAAGACAGGTAAGGCTTCTTGAACCCTTTTGTTCACTACCTTCTTATCTCACGTTATGGGAGTTGGGGGCGTCAAGGGCTAGAGATGAAATGCTGATCTTAGTCTCTGGACCCCAAGTCCAGGGCAATGCAAGCCTCGGTTATAGTGACTTCATTGTGAAGCTGAGAAATGATTTAAGAAGGGGCGCGCTACCCAAGAACTCCCATTCCCTGTCCCCCTGGGAGCTTTCTCGAAGCCCTTTAGATGAGGGCGGCGGGGTGAGCCACGGACACAGGTGATCCCGGGGTGGGGACCCTTTCCAGGCTGATAAGCAGCCAACGGCCTGCTCTGTGACTGCTTACCCTCCTGCTTTCATCATCTCCGAACATACACAAAGCACCAGGGAGGCCTCGGCCCTGCTGGTACCTGGCTCCGTGAGGGCGCCCAGGCTGGAGCTGTGGCCGGCACGCTACTCGGGCAAAGGGCGCCCACTCTGCATCCCGTCCACCCGTCTCCCGGGGGAAAACCGAGAGGGCGACGCTTAGGGCATGGTGGCCTGCCAGAACCAGGCATAGAGCAAAACCCGGGCGGAGAGCAAGGCTGTTGCGGGGCACGGGGCGCGGTGGGGAGGGAGCGGGCTGGGTGGGCACGGGCGGGGGCCGCGGGGAGGGGGAGGGGCCGGGGCCGGAGGGCGGGCAGCACCGGGGCTCTGCGGGCCGCAGTCCCTTTGTCCCGCCCCCGGCCCCAGCGCGGCCCTGCCCGCTTACCTTCTTGTAGTTCTTGCCGAGCCAGAGCCGCACGTTGTCGAACTGGGTCACGGTGTCCGCGGCCTCGTAGTACTTCACGTTGGGGCCGCCGTCCTTCTTCCGCACCGCCATCTTCTCGGGCTCGGCCCCCGCCGCCGCCGCCGCCGCCGCCGCCGCCGCCGCCGCCGCCCGCCCCGCTCAGCTCCCGCCTCCTCCGCCTCCCTCTCCGCCCGCCTCCCGCTGCCTCCCGCCGCCGCAGCCGCTGCCTCCCGCCGCCTGGGCCGGCCCCGGTCCGCGCAGCGCCCCCTGCCGGCAGGCCCGGCGCGGCGGCGGGGGCGGTGGCTGAGCTCGGGCCTGGGCGGACCCCGGCGGGCTCCCCGGCGGCGGCAGCGACTTCCTGGGGGCGGCGCCGCTCTTCCAAAGCGCTCTTTCCTCCGCGCCATTCCCTTTCCCTTGGTTCTGCCCCTCAGCCCGGAGGGGGCCATCCCTTCACCATGCCCCAAGAGCCCAGTCCATAGCCCAGAGTAGAACCCTAATCCCGAGGAACTCACACCCCTTTCCCCAAGGAACTTCCTTGCTCCCCTTCTCGCCCAAGCGCTCCTCTTTTATACCTGACTCTGGCTCACGCGCCACTCCTTGCCCCCTCCCCGAAGTTACCTCCGACACCGCTGCGTGGCGGGGTCGGCTTCTGCTCCCAACAGGTCTGCGCTTCTCGAGCTCCCGCCCTGGTCGTTCAGTGCGCCCGACTCTGCCTCGGAGGGGCGTGGCGCGAGGTAAGGGGCAAGGGCTGCGAGTTGCCAGGTGCGCGCATCCCTGCTCCCCGGCTCTGGGTCTCGTCCGGTCGCAGTGCGGACCTTTCTGTAAGCGCGCAGCAAAACGTAGTTTTGGAAGTCACGGTGGCCGAGTGGTTAAGGCGTTGGACTCGAAATCCAATGGGGTTTCCCCGCACAGGTTCGAATCCTGTTCGTGACGGCTATTTTTCGTTTCACAACGGGTAAAGGAAACCCTGGTCCTCGCGCTTTCTTGTGCTTCTTTCTGTCTTGAAAAGGGAAACCCAAAGGTTGCACCCCTGCCTTGAAGAGGCCGAGGGTGATCCTGGAAATTTAATTACACAGCACTGTGTTGGTTGATAGGCTTCAAGGCTTTTAAAGAATTCTCTAACTTACAGTTAGCAGAGCTGTGGTAAACAGTTCATTCTTTTGTGGGAAATTGAGTAAAGAAATTAGGTAAAGAGTCAAGTTTTGTTTGGGAATGTGAGTGCTTGTTGCCCAATGACAGTCATGTACCAGGAGTTTCTAGGAAAGGGGAGCCTTTGGATTTCATGACTGGAAGTCCTACCTTGTGAATCTGCTGACATAGGAAGACCCAGAAAACAGCATCCTTTCATTTCTTGAAGCTGTCAGGTAGGCAGGGCTGGGTGGGGATTACTGAAACAGAAACACTGCAGCTCCAAGTGGGAGGGTAGCTTCCTACTGGGTGGTCACCTTGTACCAGATACTGTTCTAAATTCTTTGTGTATTGGGCAAGCTAGGGAATTCTCTAACCTCTAAGCTCCCTTCAGTCTCGGGATCCAGTTCTCCATCTGTGTTGTTAATGGGCTTTTTGTACTTTGTGTGTGTGTGTGTGTGTGTGTGTGTGTGTGTGTGTATTTTACTGGGCATTGAACCCAAGGCTATACCCAGCCCTGTTTATTTCTAATTTGAGACAGGGTCATGCTAAGTTGCTAAGTATCCCAGGCTGGGCCGACCATTCAATTCTCCTGCCTCAGCTTTCCAGAGTGCTGGGATTACAGGCCTGTACCGCTCCTCCCAGCCTTGTGCTTCATTTCTCCTACAGCAGCATCTTCCCTAAGGATCAAAGAGAGCGGGGCACTCAAGGGAAATTGATAAAGCTCTCCTCACTGCCAGCTGTCCGTCCACCCTCCTTCGACCCTCCTCTGTAATCACTGATCATTCCAGTGGAACCCATCAGTCTGCCAGCAGTGTTAGCCAAGTTGCATGCAAGGAATTTCTTGACATGCTTCTGCAAAACGAAAACAAGTCCTATTTATTCTGCCTTCTACATATGTTTCAAGTTAGTCCACTTTTCTAAGGGATGAGTGAAGGTTGGGCCTACAGTTTGCCAGGATGATTTTTTTTTTTCCAGCTCTGGGGATCAAACCCAGCGTCTTGCACATGCTAGGCAACTGCTCTACTGCTGATCATCCACCCCCCACCCCCCCACCCCCCTACCCCCACATTTAATGTGTATTGAGCTGCACTGAGGGATCCACAGTAGCTGCCCTTAAGCCCACCTTGCCATGGTTTTTTTGTACAGTATTACATGATCTGAGAAAAGAGACCTTTTCTCTTACCACTCTTCCACTTTCACTACATTCCATCCAGCACCATTATTTTATTTTATTTTATTTTTTGAGACAGGGTCTTGTTGTGTAAGCCCAGGCTGGCCTTGAACTCAAGTGATCCTGCTGCCTCTGCCTCCCAAATGCTGAGATTACAGGCATGCACCACCACACCCAGCATTCTTTTATTTTTTTCAGCAGCATTCTTTTAGTTTCCTGTAGAGTGTTTGTTTGTTGTTTTTGGTACTGGTCCTTGCATTTACAAGGCAGGCAGAGGAATAACTGAGCTACATCCCTGACCCCCTGTAGAGTTATTTGGCCTTGTTCATGCTGTTCTTTACCTGAAATAATCTTTCTTTTCTTTTTTTTTTTGGTACCGGGGATCGAACTCGGGTCCTTGCGCTTGCACAGCAGGCAGTGAAACCACTGAGCTAAATCCCTGGCCCTGAAATAATCTTTCTTTTGTTTTGTTTTGGCGTTTTGGGGGTCAGGGTCTCACTGTAATTCAAGCTGGCCTAAAACTCACTATGTAGCCCAGGCTGGCCTCAAACTCTTGGTGACCCTTCTGCCTCAGCTTCCCGAATGCTGGGATTCCAGGGGTGGTATGCACGCCTGGCTGAAATAATCTTTTTTATCCTCACCTACTCAGTTTCCCACTAAATATTAGTTCTGGAAAGTCTCTGACCACCTATTTCCCACTACATACTTCTCCTTAACTTTATTGTATGAAGTCCTTCTTTTGTAGAATGTAAACCTTTTTTTTTTCTTTTTGCAGTACAGGGGATTAAACCTAGGTCCTTCACACTGAGCTACATCCTTACCTTTTTTTATTTTGAGACGGTCTAAATTGCCCAGTCTGGGCTTGAACTAGCAATCCTTCTGCCTCAGCCTCTCAGAGTGCTGAGATTGTAGGCATGCCCTAGCATGCCCTGCTGAATGTAATTTCTTGACACAAATAAGCCATGTAGGCCAAATATGGTGTTGCATGCACAGCACTTGGGAGGGTGAGGCAGGAGGATTGTGAGTTGAAGGCCAGCCTGAGACCTGAAACTATAGCGAGACCCTGTCTCAAAAAAAAAAAAAAGCTATGTAGTTTTTATTTTTATTTTATTTTTTTGGTACCAGGGATCGAACTCAGGTCCTTGTGGTTGCAAGGCAGGTGGTGGAACCACTGAGTTAAATCTCTGGCCTGTAGTTTTTAAAAGGTGAAAGATTTATACAATCTGAAGAGAAACCAGAGTATAGCTATGTAGTTTTTTTTGTTTTTGTTTTTGTTTTTGGTGCTGGGGATCGAACTCGGGTCCTTGCATTTGCGCAGCAAGCGGCGAAACCACTGAGCTAAATCCCGGGCCCAACTATGTAGTTTTTTAAAGTTTTGTTGTAGCCTGTAGCCAGGCCTGGTGGTACATGCCTGTAATCCCACCACTCTGGAGGCTGAAGCAGGAGGATTAAAAGTTCAAGCCCAGCCTGGGCAATTTAATAATTTAGCAAGACCCTATCTCAAAATTTTAAAAGGATAGGGTTTTAGTTCACTGAGAAAGCCCTTGTTTTTATCCCCAGTACTGCAAAAAAGTAAATAAACAAATGAAGTTTTGTTGTGTAAATAACTGTTTTTACAGTAGTTATATGTACATGTTTTAATTTTCACTTGGACTGGATTATAAACTTAGAGAGTACTGTGCACCTTGTTTCTTTACTTATTTTCTATAAGGCCTTATACGCAGATGTGATCAAATGTGTACAGAAATAATTTTTATGATTATTTAAGCTGATTTATCTAGGTCTGAAATAATTTCATGGAATGTAATTGGCTTAGTACTGTATTGCCCTCCCTGCACATCCCATTTTGCACATGCTCTCATTTATCTGGAGAGCCATGACCAAAACTGACCAGCAGAGGGCAACCGACAACCATGTTGTGAAAGGGAGCACAACCCATGGCTTACAAAATGGAGGCTCTAGGATCTAGTCTAGACCAAGAATGGGAATACAGTAGAGGTACTTTGGTACCTGAAGGTCATCTCTTGCACTGTCAAATGCCTCTCTTCTAACTTTAAGCACAGGCCAAGGTTTTGAACCTTTGTGTATGATAGGTAATTTCAAATTCCTACCATCCCTCTAGGTCCACACCAAGTCCAGTTCCTCCATCCTCCCCTTTCCATCCAACAGGTCATCTTTTTATCTTTATGTTACTTGATCTGCCTCCCTTTCCCCCATTCTTACATATTTACATTCCACCTACTGCTTCAGTTCCTGCTGTAGAGTTTAGCTTTGCTCATCTCGAAGTTACTATCTCTACCTTGGCTTACAATACTATTTCAACCTCATAAGGAACTTTCTATAAGTCTCCTTCCATAACACCTTGAAATTTTCCAATTTGACTGGATCAGCCCTTCATTAATTCAGAACAGACAAAACCTCATCATCATTTGATAATTCCAAATCACCAAATTGTTTTTGTTTGTTTGTTTTGTGAGACAGGGTCTCACTATGTAATTCAGGCTGGCTTTGGACTCTCAGTGATCCTCCTGCCTCAGGCTCCCAAGTGCTGGAATTACAGGCATGCACTACCACACCGGGCACCAAATTGTTTTCTGCTCTACTTTTCAAATAAAATGTGTACCCTTCACCTCTAGGTCCCTACCTTAACACCTTATCATCTGGTTTCTGCCTCCTGAAGTTTTTTAGACATTGGTAGAAACCACTGGACAGGTCTCTTCTCAATCTTCATCCTTTACTGTGTTTGGAAATTGTTTTGTTTGTACTGGGGATTGATCCTAGAGCCTTTGCACTAAGGTATATCCCCTGCCCTTTTTTTAATGTTCTGTTTTGGGTCAGGGTCTCACTAAGTCACTAA